TCTTCGGAGCGACAGGACACAGCAAATGCTGATATTTACGACCGGGCCAGCAGACGCCGGTAACCTATCGACCTCGGAGTCGTCGAGAAGTGCAGATAAAAAGGATAGACGTAGTCTATCACGAAGTGTCGAAAGAGCCTGGGCAAAGGAGAGGGCGTCGCTACGTAGAGAAACGTCTTACACAAATGGGCAGACTGAACGGAGGCAGGTGATTGAAGAAAGAAGAAAAAGAAAAACAGAAATCGAGGGGGGATGAGATGTTTATATACCCCGCTCGAGAGCTCATGGGCAGAGCCTGAGGTGACGATGATTCATGAGGTTCAAGGCATCCATCAAGCACGCAGCTGGCAGCTGGTGACAGCTGACAAGCATTTGCAGCTACCGATGACTCTCCACCTGTTAAGTGAACCTCCCTTCTGTTCAGCAGTAAGAGCCATGAGACTGAGTACGCCTTGAGATTACGAAAATATGGAGATATGATTTGTGTGTTGAGGGTATCATGAGTTGGTAAAGAGCTGGAAGTTGATGAGCAATATTGCACACCATTCAAAGTACATATAGTCTTTTTAAGAATTATACAATGTTTTATTTAAGATAGCAATATTGAATTGATTCAATAAATGGTAGTACACGGAACAGCAGATTCGTGAGAATGCTTCCTGTTTAGTTGTGTTGAAACGTGTTCGCAACACCTTCACACAGGTCATTTCCACTCCGCACGAGAACGAGCTTCAATGCGCCAGCAATGTGGTTGAGTTTTCACTTGGCTTCCAACAGTTAAGAGCACCATAGCTACTTTCATTATCAACCTAGCTCAAATCAGGCCTTCACTCGGTGTTCAAGTAAAAGAGGGGCAGAAGTGGGCGGAGTAAAGGCTTCTACGATTCGTCTAAAACGAGACACGCAAATAGGGAGACAGGAGGTTGACCTTTATCGAGGTACAGCACAGCATGATGTTATTGCTAACTCTAGATGCTATAATTTAGGTTAAGAGGGAATGAAATTCGAATTCCTTTGGAGATCAGGCTGATGATAAAGTTGCGCGATGAGCGGAGATGAGCCAGTTTCGGGGTCCTAGCTTTTGAAGGTGGTGCTGCCGAGCCGCTGCGATATGAAGCAGAGTAAAGGGTGCAGAGTTTATCCGCAAACGCGCCTAATATCACAGACGACACGATCCTTAGCCTCAAGGTGAAGCTTGGCACAATAGAATGCGAGAACTGGTGCCACCTCTGGGGCACACTGGGCGATGGTGACGGTCTCACGATATATCTTGACGGCGAGATGAAAGCGTGCGAAGGAAAGCGGAAGACGCGTGAGGGTGAACTGCATAGACAGGAGATGAGAGAGGGGAGATTTCTTCTTTGACCTTGGAGAGCTCGGCGTATTGCTCTGCACAGGTATTATATCGCTGTTATCGCCAGCAGGTTCTTTATCGAGATAGAGTCAATGGGGATAGCTCTAATTATGGCTGGTATGCCAGGCTCCGGCCTTAGAGTCGCAGCCTTGGGGTTGCGGCCCTCAATAACGATGACATCGTCCCGGTGGTTCTGCGAGGTATGAGATTCGTATGGCGGTTGGTGGCCAGATCGTCACATGGCTAACTTTGATTTCTCTGTGAAAGGACAATACTGGCGGCCTCTGAGACGGAGAAGACAATCCCAGATACCTCGACAGTCCAAGGAGGAGTACGGCTGGAAACTGCCCGTCGAGAATGGGTATACGATAAGTGAAGTTCCGTGCGGGAGTAGTAGTGCTGCTTCTGAATCACGCAAAGTCGGCGTGTATAGACACAGGGGAGCTCTGCCTTTGATTGTAGTTAGAGTATGAATAGTATAGATGGGGTTGAAGAGGTTACAGTATACCAGATATTGCACTTTGAGCATCCTCCATATTCATCAGCAGTAGAATATCTCTTCTGCTCATATAGATAAAATGCTCGTTTAAACCACTGACTAGGCTGTCATTTCCAGGTGGAGTTACTAGAACTGACTGGCCTTGATAAGTTCCTTTAGGAATACCAAGAAGTTTCTCAACTCTTCGTATTATAGTAACCTTGAGACAGCTAGGCCCCTCTGGCCCCTTGCCTCCGTTTCGGTACCGGGCTTCGTGACATATTCTGACCCTGCCGACACTTGTGGCCAATAGCGATAGTCATGGATGATACTGTTACTGTACAGCTAGGAGTTGACAGCATCTCCCAGATACTTTGGTGAGTACCCAGACCGATTGCTCAGGTAATGTAGATGAAAAAGAATGGTTCCACTCTCCAGCGGAAAACTTCCTTCCACCGCTACCTAAGGGTGAATGCCACCGAGGAGAGGTAACGTCATATGCCTGCCCAATAGGCACTTAAGTACCTTAATTAATCAAGAGACTTCAGACGTATTCCAAAACTCCCATCCGGACATGCCCACATATTATGTAAACGCCATCGAATTTCTCCTCAACCTTAGCACGACACTATAGTGGCACAGCTGTTGATAAGAACTAAAGGCCTCTTCAGAATTTCCAACCTAATTAGTAAATGAGCCCAGAAGAGTCGATCAAGCAGTTGTATATCTAGCTAATACTAACAAGTCCACTACTGCTTCCCAATTATGGTTACATGTTGATTCCTGGCGTGACGTAGATGTGAAATGCCTGTTGTCAATCGACAAGAGATGAGAGTCCCTGCCAACACCGGCAAAGCAGTTTCAAACTTGATAGCGGTTAACGGTAATAATTAACACAAAGACCTACTCAGGTCAACAGCAGCTTGCTTTCGTGATAGGTAGTTATTTTTATCAGTCTTATTTGGTATGCTTATGCTATTGCGTGAGCTTGGAGCTCGCCGTACGACTCTTTAACTCTAGGACTCGGGTGGGGAAATTACCGAATTGATAAAGTGCAGTTCGTGATCCTGGGATTATTTTCTGGTGTCTGTCGTCACTGTCATTCCAACTGAAACCCCTTCCCGTAAGCTTGCTCGCTTGGCATCTGCCCATATAGCGTAGCTCTCTGAGATGTAAGGACCAGTTTGACGAGCTCATGATTGTGCTGGAAACTTTACGCAGCCTTACAGCCCAGCAACCAATGCAAGTTGAGTTAGTAATGTCGCTATCACATTTCCATTGTCAATGCGGGCATCTGTCAAGGATCAAATTGCACAGTGTATAGGGAAGTCAACACACATATGGCAATCTGACGAATTATCCACACTGAAGACACCATAAGCACGAGATCACACATGAGGCTGGAGAGAAGGGCCAGATAGCCATGAATGTCATGAATTGGTTATTGTTATGTCCTGCTTGCCTTCTTATGTATTTGCTGTATTCTGACTTGCTAGCTTACTACCACATTCAACGGCATCAAAAGAAAGCATCTTGATGAAGCTGCTACGTCAAGGAGAAATGGCCAGTGCTTACTTCCTCGCATAACGAGGAGCCCAAGAGCGCACCGGCGACGGTAGGACAGAGTCAAAAACATCAGCCGCTTAAACAACTACACAACCGCCTCCAGCGAATATTAAGCGGCGGCTCAGGGAATTGCCATCGGATCAATAGCTTACCCAACTTATTTAAGGCCATGCCAATATCACGGTAGTATATCATTCACTCGCAATGCGAGGGGCCAGAACCCAGTGTGCCCCTTCAAGCCACAAGACTACCTAGGTACCCAATCCTTCTTCCAAAGCCACTCTTCCAACAGTAGGGACTGATACGGCCAGTAGAAAGGGCCAGAAGAGTTCCAACATGGGGCAGCCATCGAGCGCCGTGCCCAAATAGTGCTTCGACTCCTACAGAATATTTATAGAGTAAGCAAAATATAACCCTAAGCAAATGCTTATTGCGACCAGGTGTTCCCAGACCTGGCGACTCCAAGATATGACTTGCTCATATCGTCCTAGATGTTTTCTCGAACGGCTAGATTGATGACCAAAAAATTTACACACATCACAAATCTTGACACCAGGCTTTGAGGGTCCTTGCACATTGTCCCGTCTTTAACTCACCTCACTCTACGCCAGTGATGCTCAGGCCCAAGTTGTACTATAGCCATCAGAATAAAATGAGTCAAGGAATCATAATAGAAACCCTACAAAGAAAGTCAGTCGCAGCTTGGTAAACAGGTAAATAGACGCTATGAATAGCATACATGGGTAACTCCGTATCTGATTCCCGGATCGCCCTGGAGATTATTCTATTCCTAAGGTTCTACAGTTAGCTCTGTAAAAAAATTATATTGAGAACATCCAGACTTACTGTACCACCTATTTACCAAAAATAATCGGGGCTTGGTTATTTTTAGCCTCTGCGAGTTCCTGTTTGTTAGACTTCTCAGACTTCTCAGCCTGCAGTTCCTCAAACTTTTCAGTCTGTTCCATGATCAGGTTCGCCTTCTCGGGGTCATATACGAGCTTTCGTCTTCCTCATTGTCCTCTGTTGAGGCAGATGGCCCGTCCTTGCGAGCACGTTTCGCAGGGCGTTTGCTCGCCACGCCTGAAGGTCGTTTCTTCTCTGGCTTCTTTGGAATTTCTCCCATCTTGTAGCCCTTGCGTTGTCCCGGCGCATGTCCAGGTCTCTGGCTCTCAGGGGCGATAAACACCAGACGAGTAGTTCTCTTGGTCTCAGTGACCGCAAGGTAGGCATCACCATAACCATACCCCAACTCAGCTGCCATTGTTCGCATAAATTTGAGCACCGCTCGGCGCTCAGCTTTCTGTTGCTCAGTACCATTGCTAGACCAGCTATCTAGTAAGCTGAGAATACCAGAAGGCAGCTGTTGTTCGCCGCCAAAGACCTCCAGCGCTCCAAAATAGGATAAAAAGTTTGGTTCACCTTGCTTCAGGGAGTCACGGAATTTTCGAGCCCATGGGGTGCTGGCTTGGGACATAGCCACTCAGATTGCTAGTCTCCTTGCTTTCCTTCTCTGTGTCCTGGCTACCATCCTCTGTTTCTTTCGGGGCGGCGACAGTTGTCTTTCCCTTTCCCTTATGCTTGGACTCTGAGAGAACTTCATCTTATTCCTTCATCACCTTGCTAACAGACTTCTTACTCTTCTTGGGTTTTTGTCTTGGTCATCTCCATCATACCATTCCATAAACTCGGAGTCATTTACCGAGTCAGGGTTTTCGTGGATTTGTTGATATTCTTGAGGACATCCGGGCTGAGTTTCTTGGGGTCTACCACCTGGCAATCCGCCTCATGTTCACTTTCTTCCTGAGGAGGAACATATTTCTCGTCGGGATCGTTCGCTTTCGCTGTGCTGATGTCCTCCTGGGCAGACATGATACCCTGAGAAAAGGGAGGTTAGGTTAGCTTAGGTTATGGTAAAGTGGAGAAGTTTCAAGGGGGTCACTTAGTGTTTGGTGGAAGTGTCCAATAGTAGGGGAAATGAGTTGGAGGTTGGTGGTAAATTAAGATGGTATGCTATGGACTAGAGTAGGATGGTAGGTGCTTCAGGACAGTTGGCTCTCTGTGAAGGGAGACTGGATTTCCCATGAATGGTGCCCGGTTATAGTGAGCTAGGCATTATTGCAGCAGGAGGTGAAATCCTGGCAGAGCAAACTTACCGGCGAAAAGTTGCATGTTAGAGAGCGATCGATTTGGCAAAGGTTGGTGTGTTAAAAAAGAATGTGGAAATGGAAGCGCAAGGTTGCGCGACAAGAAAAGACATGATATTGCACTCTTGGAAGGTGAAAAGTTGAATGTTCTGTTTTTAAAAAGGCTGAAAGGATGCAGGAGTAAAGGTTGAGATAAGAGTGGAGGGTTGAAGTTGGAGCTAAGAGGTAGAGGCTAGAACAGAATCCCTAGCATGAGCATGAACATTTTGCTACAGTATAATGGAGGCAGCGACTTACCTGAAATTTTACAGAGCAGGATTCCTAGAGTGTGTTAAAATACTGAATCCTACCGTGTTCCAAGGTGGTCACCCTGAAATCAGTAACCCAAGTTTGTTAGTGGAAGATCAAGGTCAGTTTTGGCAAAGGAGGGTTGATGCCCCTGATATATCTGATCAACACGTGAGGCCTAAAGGTGAAGTTACAGAATCCATGTTTTCCAAGCATAAAGAGGATCTCACTTACTAACTTTCTTTCTCCCTCCTTCACCAACACCATCATTTGCCCCAATCACTAAAACTTGGATACCGGGTAGTAGGGAGACGACATGCCTCAAGAAGAAACAGCCAAATGCATTTCCAAGTTTGTTGGGCATTGATATGAAGGACTGGGTGCTACGGTGCTTTTGTTCTAGCTATGGGAGGACGCCTAGTGTTGTTGGTGTGATGCCGTGATTGGGGAGGATGTCTGTGTCAGGGGTAAAGGCGTCTTGATCCTCGGACGAGCTGAGCAGATCCTGGAGCTTCTTGCCGCGCTTTGCTATGAATTGGTTGGCCGGGCGAAGCTGGACGAGTTTGTTGACTCAAGCGAACGTTCTCCATCTTCTTGGACTTCCAGATTTCATCCCAGCGAGCGAGGACCAATCCCAATCCAGACGGCTGACCGCGATTAGTTAAGGCCAAATACATAAGAGATAGACATACTCTTACACCAAGCCTAAACCTTCTCACCCGATTTAGCAACTGAGGTATACTGTGTAGTTATAACACCTAGCAAAGATAACCTCAAAGTCCTCCAGGGAATAGAGAAAGCAACGTCCCCGTTCTGGTTTCTGGTTTCTGCTAAAAGCTCAAGCTCTTCAATCTTATACTAAGGAGAGTAATTAGTACTGACCAGGATACGGCTACCAGATGAACATACCTTAATCAAAGCGAGTGTTTGAGACTTCCATGACGCGACATTCTGCTGGAAGCGCTTGTGAGCGGCCTGCCAAACAACGTCATGCTGATCCTCAGTGAATTCTTTCTCCAGGATGAACTTGAGGATTCCTTCTTGAAAGTCATTTAACAGGGTGGGCATCATAGCCTTTCGAGCCTCAAGCCGAATCTTCTCAAGAAAAGGCTTGGTTGACACCACATAGTCTGCTGGTAAGTCACATCTGCGGCGCTGTGAGCTCTTGGCCAGAGTTGCATCCTTTGACAATCAGTTCTCGAATCAGCAGCACGGCCTGGCCGATTCCTACGCAGGATCGCATACGCCCTCGAATATATCTGACTCCTTCCACTATATCTCATAAGAGCAGACTAACATGTCGGCTCTTTTCCAGTAACTCTTAGGAAACCTTAGTCATCTACTTATAGTCAGAGCCAGAGCCATATTACTCAGTCACCACCAGCTCCTCCTTTCCAGATTCTAAAGAGACTCACCAGCTGCTTCCCAGCTTTCTCACCACTCCCACCGCCACAACCACTCGGTCGGCGCTGGCAGTGACCGAACTGCTATCCCTACCTCTCCTCACCAGATCCGTGCATGATCAGTCTGCTCGGCAACGTCCTTGATGGCCTCTGAGACGGTCTCCTTGGCGGTCGAATTGTAGTTGTTGAATTCGGGGGCCGGAGGAGTACCCTGCTTCTCCGAAGGGTGAAACTGTAGATATGACGGCCAGTAAAACTAAAGAAAGCGACTTGAAACTCTACCACATACTATCAGCTACTGAATAGAATCTTCGATTGTCGACGGGAAAGGACGCGTTGCATCACCGGCAAATGGATTGTCCGACCATGTGCTCTGACTAGTCATTTGAGACCCTAGAACGCCTGTCTGCGCCATTGTACAGGGTTTCTAAAGTTAGGTAAAGAGGCTTGGTCATCGCAGCGTAAGGTTGTCAAGGATGAAACGAGGGTGTTCGTGAAGCGTATCAGTGTTCTGAGCAAATAGAGTGATTTCAGTGACTGCCTGATTCTTGATGCTGGACCTTCGGGGTCTTTTGTTATCATTAACAGCTGTAGTACTAGGCCATTTATTTCTATACGAATACCCAGAAAAGGGGAGCAAGTCTGGTTGCCAAGTTGCCGGGCTCTGTAATTGGATATTTGACGCGATCGGGCACAGGCTCATTGACAGCCAATTATCCGCAATCATTATGCCAGTATCTGACTCTTGATGCCGTGCTTTATATATCTAGCTAAAGTGGATTTCTGGTAATGTAGCTGTAGATATGAAATTAGTTTCAGCAGGGACAGTATTCGCAGTTCACTTATCGGCAGGAGAAGAAGCAGGCTTGGCGATAAGAGAACTAGTAAAGATAGGCCTGACCGGGGATAAAGAGACATCCTTTATAGTAGCATACTCGGAGCTAGAGAATTGACTAAAATTCTTTTCAACTGCAGCCTCGAAGCCAGGCTTGAGCTCAGCAGGCTCGTGAGTATCCAACCATCCCTCTGCAAAAGACCAAGACTACCCATAATACTCATCATCCCTTCCGTAGCCATTCATTGTCACTAGGACTGGTGCTTAAGCCTTAGCCATAAGGAAGGCCTTGATATTGGTAGACTTCTCAGCGGTCTCGAGAAGCTTCTCAGCATTGTTGGGATCATAGGAGAAGTTGACAGCACAAAGAAAGGGAGATGTACGGTCAGATATCTGAGTGTGGTTCCAATCCAAAATGTTTGAGTATGGATGACATGACTGGACTATAACCGCGAGTTACCATGTCCTTGATGGTCATGTACGTACTTCTTGGGGAATATATTCAGTGGCGAGGTCGATGGCAGCCCTGGGGTGCCACTGTGTACTGTAGAGAGTGCCGAGTAAAGGTTCAAAGGATTTGTCTCTGGCAATTTAGTGAATGGTGTTTGATTCGATGGCTGAAATCGCGGCCGTGGCGGCAAACTTGACCCCGTAGATGTTGCGTGCTATGAAGACCTCTGTCATCATGGCAATCCCGCAAACTTCGATCTCGGTCCTGTTGAGGATTGGACAACAGCAATCTTCTTGATTCCTACGGCACTCCTTTCGGAAATCCATGACGACATATTTGACACCTGTTTTGTCGAAATCTAGACAAAGTTAGAGAGTTATGTAAATAAATGAGCTATTACCAACTCACAAGAGACAACAGCCGCAATAAACATGTCTGTGAAACAAGCGGGATTGGGCTAAGCGGGGTTGAGTGGCAGATGTTGTCTCGGACACTGAAGTACAATAAGAATCGCGGTCTCATTTCCCATGACTCTGATTGGGCGACAATAGGGGAAATCCACCCGCATCCAGGGGACACCACTCATGAATCTCCAGAAAACGTTGGACTTCTCTAGACTCTTCAAACTGCCAAAATATTCTGCAGTAAGTTGACAAAGTCCGAAGATCTTCACCATATGTTGCAACGAGCTGAATGGGGGATGACCAAGAATCGAGACCACTCCCAGGGCCTTTAAGAGCTTTAAGAGATAAGTCGAAATTGTCAAGGGACGTGATATTAGCATCTAAAGATATTAGCCATGAAAATAGTATAGAAAAGCACCAAACTTACTTTCACAGTCTTGTATATCGAGGATTGTCTTAGGATAAGGCTCCTCAGGACTCCCAGATTGCGCAGGCAGAGCCTGTGATAAGTGGGAGCTGCTGAGAGTGTGGTCGTAGAGGCCATCATCATCATTATCATCAGCATCAACATCACCGGAAGGTGCTATCGCATGTCAGTGTTTTCTGTTTCAATTATGTATATAGGCAGGGTCAAATACCTTCTCCGTTAGATAGCTCAGAGGTGAACTGCAAGACGGCAAAATCTGAACCTTCTTGCTGAAGAGTAAGACTGATCAGACCTAAATCGAACCCGAGCGAACTGAATATGGGAAAGGAAGTTGTCTTGTCCTGGGTTTTGTATGATTTTGCGAGTCTTCGGCGAGTTCCAACGTCAGAGATGAGTGCCGGACTGGAGAACTCTGACTTGGTATGGGCTGGGAGACTGGAGGGCTCCCAGGTCAAGAAATAACGACTCCGTGTGAAAGGAGGTAGGACGTTCTGCAACGAAGGCAATGTGATAGGCAATGGAAATCGAGACGAGAGGATGAGAAGATGAATGATAAGAAAAGAGGAAGAGTAGAAGAGCAGAAGAGCAGAAGAGAAGAAGAGGAGAATCCTTTTGCAAGGAACATGCGCGCCTGCTCGGCATTATTATGTCCTTTATTTCCTCTTTCATGGCACAAGTTGCAAGTGAGGTTGGCTTTTATCAAGAATGGCGACTGCCTGAAGCGAAGGTAGCATATTGATTTGGCAGGAGACGGGCATTGGTAGTCAAGTATCGAGGGAAGGGGTAAGCCACAGGTCGTCGCAGACTGAAGTCATCATCGGGTGATGAATGCGCTCATAAGGGGAAAGGAAGGTGGTAATCAGCTCAGTTTCTTGATCAGTGATTGTTTGCAACATGGAGGAGGCGAAACTACCTAAGTACCTAGGTACCTTATGTACAATAGAAGTAATAAAGTCGATTTCATCACGTCATCGTCGGCTAAATTTTTTAACTGTTGCAGATGCGAATATGAACTTGCACCTAACCGCAGGTTGCACAAAAGTGATTCTCTGCCGCGACGATTACAGCAGTTAAGCGGTCAGTATGATAACACGATCCTTATTCAGACGGATCCCTGATATTCATAATATGCATGAACACAGAGTCCCGACTTCATACTACCTGTCAAACCATCCTCCCACGACAAGGATTTTACTTCATGACATGGGTGATCCCGTCTCTATCCCTACCTTACCCAGCCTCACAGATAAACATAAATTATCCCTCATGGATCATCACTATTTCAAGCTTAACCCTACCCCCAACTCCTGTTGAGATCAGTTTATCCGATAGCTTCACCTGCCATTGGTTCGCTCTGCAACTGGTGGCAGCGGCTTCCAGTTGTCGCTTGGCGCCTCGGACATCGAACTGTGTGCGCACTCCTGGCTTTGCAATGGGTCCTGTTCGTCAAGACATAGCTTCACATCACTTTGTTCCTGATCATGGCGCTGGGTATACCTGTAGCCAGTGCTACCCGTTTTCATGAGCGGGGTGACTGCATTATATCTTTGGCGTAGTCGCCGGACAATCCCTCGACATGGCCGTTGGCGATGCTAGGGCAACCAAGATGAAGACTACACGAAACCGCGCATAGACTCCAATGAGCTTGCTTTTGGGGAAGGTCAGCCAGATGGACCATATCAGAAATTCGAACTCCAGCAGACAAGGCCCTCGCACTGATCGACAATCGTACAGTGCTGCTCAGGGCTCAAAGGACCGACAGAAAGGGAAATACTTTTGGTGAAGTATTGCAGGGCCATGTTCGATTCAATATCCCCGCGGACAACGAAGGCATGTCCAGACATCGCGAAGCATTTGAGGGGATTTCAACCTTAGTTATAGTTTTTAATAGACAAGTTGCATTCTCTTGATCACACCTCATCGTCACTCTGGACTTCTCGGCAAGGCCTAGGCAACCAAAAGATGCATAAAATTGTATATTTCGGTAACCGACTTCGGTAGGCTCGATCCTTAGCTCTACAGACAAAGAGATCAGGTCTACCAAAGGATAGATAAAACAGTATGATAGTGTCAGGCTTGGTTTTCTGCTCCACGGATAATAGAAAACATAGCATGAGCTCATAATAAGCCTTAAAGGAATATTAACCTTAACTACGCCTCGGGGACTGGTTAAAACCATACTCTAGACGCCTCATCAATGAAACCATTCCGCCTAGCACACTATCCAGAGTCCATAGATAGAAATCAAACATATGCCCCAAATGCCTATCCAATAGACTTCTTTTCGCCAGCATTTTCCAAATGTCACAATGTCTGACGTTGCAAAGAAGGCTAACGCCTGGACTCAAGAAACCAAAGTGAGTCTGGATCATATCCCCGAGCCACCTGCAAGGAATCTAACCACTATAACAGAATGGGCTTCTATTGCATATCATCGCACAGCTCAAGCCTAAGTGCAAGCCCACCAATTAGTCAGAGGTCAACATGGAAGGCCACACGGTGAAAGGTCTTCACAATCACTGGGCTTTCTTTAACAAAAATGGTCAGAATCGAAAGCGCGCCGACCAAACCAAAGGGCAGTCTGCCCATCCCCGCGACGATCATCTAACCCCTTTCAACGCCCTACCACGCTTCTAAATGTCAACCCATACCAGACCCAAGCAGCACAAGACAGTAGTCAAAGGTGCGCCGGCGAAACGAAGACACAGCCTGCCTTTTCTGATAATACCCACCTCACCCGACTTAACACAAGTTACGTCAGAACCCAAAGGCGCAGAGCAGTGGTGCCACTGAGTCCATCTTGCCTATCTTGATGATGATGGTGAGCTTATCATTCTCGGCAGTATAGCCAAGGCGCCACGCCAACACCAACCCGAACCATGCCTTGGCAGTATGACCAACATCCCTGGAAGTGGCCAATCTCATTAATGAATCAGCGAAGAGAATCGAGGAGGAGCACGCGGTTCCAATCGCCTCCTTGCTAACCGATTTGCCTTTACACTATAACAAGATCGCGAACATCCCTTGCCCAAAGGGGCTCTTACTGCCACCTAGTAACATCAGAAAGCTTTTCAATCGAATCGAGCATGCCCTCCGCTTCCCTGACGCTCGCCTTATACGACACGCTTAACCATTAGTATCCGACGGTGTTGTCAGAGCCTAGCATTACCCTGGGGTATTTGTTCCATTTCGTCTCCATGATCTGTTCACTGGTTAGCTCTAAGTAATGTCGTCGAGCTTCCGCCATGCAAAGTGAAATCTGTGACTTAGAACTTGGAGGTTAAAGACCAGGGGTTGCTAGTTGTTGAACCGGCGAGTTGGCACTCACAAGGCGGTGGTCAAGTCAACTTTATCACGTGACTGTCCAAAAATGTTTTGGCCGTGGCACATAGATGTTAGTCACTCTAAACTTGCACTTTGCCCCACTAATCACCATTCCGTTACTTCCTCTGTCACCCTAGATCACCATCATTAATTCAACTTCAACTTGTTCATCAACTTTTCTATGCATTTAGCAAACTTCTCAATGGATCCATCAACTCTTGGCTTTAAACAGACCTTGAACTTTGTAACACTCTTTGAAGACGAAATATCTCGATGGGATGCAGTCACTTCGCGCAACATCCATGCGGATGGTTTCTTCGTCTATGCAGTTCGCACTACCAAGATATTCTGCCGACCAATATGCAAGGCCCGTCTTCCCCGCCGAGCAAACGTCTCGTTCTTCACCAATGGCTACGATGCCCAGAAAGCTGGTTTCCGCCCTTGCAAACGCTGTAAGCCCGAAGTAGCAGGGTTCATGCCAGAAGAAACAGCTGTGCGAAAGATCCGGGCGTTTGTGCAACAACAGACAGAGGAACAGGGCGACGCAGAAGCCAGGCTGAGCCTCAGTCAGATGGCGAGGCTGACTGGGTTGTCTAAGTGGCACTTTCATCGAGTGTTTAAGAAATGTGTTGGTGTGACACCAGCAGAGTATCTGAGAAAACAAAGACAAGGTCAAGGCGTCCAGAGCTTGTTGGAAAATGGAGAAACAAGTTGGATTGATAAACTGGACTTTGAAACTCTGGGCCAAGAAGACTTTGACTTTGCTTCTTGGGATGAACCTGTGGTTGGCTCAGGGTATGCAACTACAGAAACACCATCAACAACTCTCAGTGGCAGTGGCAGTCCATGGTCTATCGAGGAATTCTTGATATGGCCAGAAGAGAATAAACCGACGCTTGTGTAATGATTTCATATCATGCTGGTTCTTCAACGTAGGCTAGTTGGGCTTGCGTTGCCAGTTTTCTATGATACATGGAGCAACTAAGCTTCAAAAGCAATGACCAAAGCTCACGATGAACACAAACACCGTCCCAGACTGGCGGCGCTTTGCACAGACATTTCCGGGGGTCTTGCACGTGTTGTTTCTGGTGACCAAATTTGAACGGCGTGGGTGGTTTCGGCAGTGTTTCACATCTACAACAAATTTGGCTGAACTATTTACAAGGATGCTCAAGCGAGCCTCAACCGAAACCCCAAAATCACGGCTACCATCTGTGCCGGTCGCAGTCTGTGCATGACGATGGTATCGACTAGGCAATTTCCAACTGGAATTGTGTTGGATGGCCGAAAAAATGTTAGCTTGACAGCTTGACCAGACAACTGAGTTGCGGTATTCTCTAGTCCCTTGTGGGCAGGATTTTTTTGCGTTGAGAGTTTTATCAACACCAACACAATTCAACGATTCTACCAATTACCAATGGATCACTTTTCGAGGCTCTATTTCAGTCTTGAACCAATTTCGATGGCAGCCGCCCATTCAACTATTTACTACCTGAGAGATACCATCTGATGCGACAAAGGACTCGGGATTTCCGTATCCGAGACCTGCGATGCCTCGGAATCGCGGAGGAGGCATTTCGCGACACATGCCTGTCGCTTGGCCATGGCTAAGACGCTTGGAAACTATAGGCCATCCAGTTAAGCTCCTATAGTCTAGACTCTATTCTTCGACAGTAACACTAAACAACGAGACGCCAACCCCATCCCAGGAGTCTTGTCAACCCTGGGGAGAACCTCAAGTTGGAAACGGCGCTTACTGATATGGTTTCGTCAAACAATATCGTAGCAGGTCATGTATGATCGCCGTAACGAGGTTCAGGCTGGTTGCCAAGTTGCATTGATTCAAGCTTATTCAAATTTAACTACTCGATAATGTTGAGAGAAACATCTATATAAGTGAGACGATCTGTCATCCAGAGTTAGAGTTTCCCTTCGATCATCATCATCACTCACACAAGCCTCTTCTCAGCATCTGCTTCTCCTTCCCTTCTCCTTTGCTTCTTTCTGCTGTTCTGTGAACGCATTCGCTTCGACCACTCCTTCAAGTTTAATACCTTCTTTTTGCACCGCTGGTTGGTTGCTTTGATACTCTTTGTAAACCTTCCAACTCGTCACTATCACTTAATCGATACAACATTCATCATGGCTTTCTCAAAGTCTATCATCCTTGCCGCTCTCCTGGCCTACGCCGAGGCCCGATTCGGTCAAGAGCAGGAGCCTGTTGCTGCTGTCCAGGCACTTGGTGATGCTGGATTCGGTGACCCTGGTGTCGCTGCCACTATTGCTGGCAGCATCCCTGGCGCTCTGCTCGCAGCTGCTAGCCCTTGTGACAAGGTATGATGTATTGGGTTGTCTTGAAATCACATCAACTAACATCTTCCAGCTCACTATCGCCGATCAGATGATCACCGAGTTGGGAACTGACCAGCAAGTTCTCGACGCAGCTATTGGTCTTGTTGCAGCTGAGACCAACTTCAACCCTTCAGCTGTTGACAGACCTTTCGTCTGCGCTGACCCCAGCCTACCAGCCACCGCTGCCCTTCGCGGCATTGTCCCTCTCGTTGACCCTGCTGTTGACGGTGCAGCCACTGAGAATGCCAACTCGGCAACCTCAGTCACAACTCCTTTCGATGCTGCTGGCCTATCACAGGCTGAGGTGATGATCGCTCAGGGATTCAGCACCTTCACAGCCGTTGGTGCTAACGGAGACCAAGTCCAGCTTGACGGCCAAGACGGCGCTGCCGCTGGTGGTGCCGGTCAAGACGATGGCCAAGATGACGGCACCGGTGCTGGTGCTGGTGCTGGTGCTGGTGCTGGTAACGGTGCTGATGCCGGCGCCGGTGCGGATGCTGGTGCTGGTGCTGGTAATGGAGGAGCTGCCAACAATGGCACTGCTCCCGCTGATGGCCAGCAGGGCAACAATGGCTCGGATAACGCCCAGGATGGAAACAACGCAAATGACGATGAGGATTGCGAAGAGGATGATAACAACAACAACGGCAATAACAACAATAACGGAAACAATGGTAACAACAACAACAATGGCAATGCTAACAACGGTAACAACGGAAATGGAAACCAGAACAACCAGGGCGGAAACAATGGCAATGCTAACAACGGTAATAATGGAAACAACAACAACGGTAACGGCAACGGCAACGGCAACAACGGAAATGGAAACCAGAACAACCAGGGCGGAAACAATGGCAACAACGACAATGCTCAGGATGGCCAGGATGATGCTGCAGATGACAACAATGCTGGAAATGGTGCCGGTAACGGTGGAAACGCTGGCGGTAATGCTGGCGGTAATGCTGGTGCTCTCGACTTCGGTGTCTGCCAGCCTACAATGGCTCGCGTTGGTGGCCTCAATGGTCGCCCAGCTGACGAGTTCACCTTCATTCCCCAGGATCCTCTCATCGCTGAAGGCCAGCAGGAGGCTCTCAACCCCAACATCATTACCAACCGTATCTGTGATCAGCTCACCAACGTGTGTGACGCTAGTGCCGATGCTGTGGCTGCTTGTGAGGATGCTCAGGCTCAGATTGAGGCTTTGGGAACACGGGATCAAAGCACCGCTGACACATGGAACGCCCTGCTTGGCTTCGACGGTGTTGATTCTACTCAGCAGCAGGTTTGAGAAGGGGCTGTGAGAGATGATCGATCGATGGGTGCATGCTGGTCATGGGGGGTGGAATAGGGGGCTCGAGTTGAGCAAACATATCCGAGTAGTACTTCAGCGTTGATTTAATACGAACTCGATTGCTAATAATTATGCTTGATCTATTGTGTGTGTTATTTTGTTGTGTGATTTTAAAAATGATATTGTATCTGCTGCAAACGAGCAGTCATGCAACATTAGGCATAGTGGTAGCAAATATCATGCCTACTCGCTATCATACGCACGCTGTCCTACGCTAGATATGTGCCAATTCTCTTCCTTTCGCTATGTCACATAAAAGCTTTCAGATGCTATGCAGAATCTCCCCAAACTACCCCGAATGTAAAAGGATGAACACCAACCCAGGCACACATTTACTGTGGAGCCCTGGCAGGACGCGTTCGAAAGCGGTTTCAATGCCGTGCCTAAGGTATACAAAAGTCTATCCAGCTTCCGAGATAATCGAGTCTGTTGCCCTGATGCTCCTGGCTCTTATAGATGGTCTCAAACTCGTCAAAGCTTAGTTTACCCCACCCTCCTCTTTTGATCGCCTGGGCCTCAGCAAGACTTAGGCGTTTCCAGTGTCGCAGCATGTCTGATGTGGGAGCGCTATCGATGTCATCCTCTTCTTTGGGTACGTCGTCCTCGGACGTGTTTGGTAAAGGCTGCGTAACGGGATAGAATACGTAAGCCGGAGAGGTAGGTACATCTTCGAGTGTGTTGGGCCGGAATTGTGGAAGAGTGGGATCCTGTTCTTCGTCTTCAGAAATTGGCATGGTTGCCTCGGTTTCTGACCCTGAAACGGGCTCTGCCGTTCCATCCTCATGGATGATTTCAACCGTAGTATCAATCTCGATGGCATTTCGTCCCTCTGGTAAGGCGATAGTATATCCAGTTTCGGACAAGAGCTCCTCAAGGGTCTTATCAGCGGCGGATCTAACCTTGGAGTCACCCTGACTTGTAGCCTTAGACTTATCATCATCGCTAGGCTCGATGGTGTCTAGTACGTCCTTGTACTTTGCCCGTTGTTCTTTGGTTTCAGCTGCTTGCACAGCAAGATCCTCAGCCGGCTTAAAAATGGTATCAAGCAACTCATTAAATGCTTGCTGAGTGACCTGGTAGAGAATCTCCTTGCCAGCATCGCGCTCGGCGTGAGGTATTCTCCATCGCGGGGCGTGCTCAGAGGCACTGCTAGGAGATGTCGTTTTATCATGGTCTTCGTCATCAGTGAGATTTCCGTTGGCAAATCTGACCTTTGAGCTAGTCGGTGTCGTCGTAGAGTCGTTTTCTTCGTCGTCACTAGAGGCTTCATCCATCTGGCGAAGATCCATCAGAATATCTTCACTGCCTGCCCAGTCATCAGGGGCAAGGCCTCCTTCTTCCTCGTCGAGATAAAACTGCCGCCTCTTCCATCGCTCATGTAGCTGATTCCGTGCCATGTCTCTTTTACGTTTATCCAGTCTAGGGGCCCTGCTGCGATCCTTAGCAATGGTCTCGGCTCTGATCTCACTTTCCGTTCGTGAAGGACCTCCAGTCTCATTTTCCTCATCATGGGTCCCGTTCAGGCCATCTGCAGGTCTGTCACCATCAACCTCATCATCCTCATCATCTGTAGGCTCCTCAATCTCAGGATTCAAAGTCTCCATTATGAGGCCTGGAAGCTCCTCCAAGGTGGATGCCGGTTCCAATAGCGTAACCCAATAAGTACGATCGGTCTCACTCCCACTCAAACGGCGAACTGTTCTCCAGTTGCTATCTGTATCGTTTCTGGTAATGAACTGCCTTCTGGACCGGAATCGATGATCAGTTTCACAGGCAAACAAGTTCGTTAGAATATCGCCGCGGGCTGCTGTATCCCCGCGATCTGGCGCAACAACGTGCTCATGCCCTTCAGAAATATCCACACTGCCATCTCGTTGATATGTCTTGCCCTCGTGCCGGAATTGTCCTTCACCAGGAGGGACTCGACCCTCGCGTCCGAACAGACTGCTCAGTGGTTGACGACTGGTGACGAGCTGTTGAGCTTCGCTGCTGGCGAGTAGCTGATCCTGAAGGCCATCTAAGATATCTTTGTGCATCTGCTTGTATAGAACATAATACGCGCGGAACATGCGCAAGAAGTCTTTGCGATCAACGTACCCATCGCCATCCAGATCATAGCCAGAGAATATCTTCCGCAGTTTATCCTTTCGCTTTCTGTATGATAATCCATGGAGAAATTCTGTGAAGCCAATCAAGTCATCGTTGTTAGAGTCGTAAAAAGAGAACATTCGATCGTGGATAAGGTTTGGTGCGGCATGTCGGGAGCCTCCTGTAGGAACAAGGCACCGCTCGAACGTCTTCCGATCCATTGCGACACACAGCTCATCGGGGTCATCTCTCCATTCCGAGTTAGCCATAAAAGTCCATTGTTCCCAGAAAGCCTCTAACTCTGGCCGTTCGAATCCTGTATCTTGTGACAGCTTGGGTATCAAACTGCGGGGCAGAGTCCGTCGGCAAGTGTCTGGGTCCCCGGTATACCAAACTTGCTGCATTTGTCGCGGACCAAACGGCGGTGCTGGGATTCGGATTTTGTAAAAGATATGAGTCTTGATGTGAACTCCCTGGGCTTCGCAAGTTTCGCAAAGATCAAAGTCGGCACAGTTTGCGCAGCGGTAACGAACCCCGCGGATGGGAACCATGCCACATGAATTGCATTGGCAGCCTCTGTGGACGCATCCATTTCTGCGTGCATTGTCCTCTGAAACGCGAAAGAGAAGGGTGACGATGTTGTGGCCAGTTCGTTGATTAGAAGGAAAACCGCTGGGATCGTTCCACCACTCGTCCCCGCCATCAACTACGGTCTCTCCATCGCCAAGGGGCTGAACTGGATCAATATTGGCGTTTTCGTCACCCGGAGCCTCGGATGAGGAACTTGAGCCATCCTCGTTTCTCCGATTCCGGCGTTGACGTCGTACTGCGTTGCTTCTGTGTAGACCACCACCAGGCAGAGACTCGAAACTTTGCGACCGGACCTGATATGCGTAGTATCCGGCCGAGAGCGCGGCCACAGCAGAAACTACGGCCACAGCCAGTCGCGGCCGGGTAATACTCTCGACGGAAGGCGTCGGCAACCACATCGTGGGCTATATCATGGATATTGCATGATGCTGAATCTAGGCGTGTCAGGGGAAGTTGAAAGTCGTAGAGTCGATCGACGGTGACTGTCGAGGGATAGATCGGGTCGGATTCGCGTCTGTCGTCGTTTCTGTTCGGTAGTGAGGTACAGTACGTTCGTAAGGCGATACTAGAATGAATAACAAATCTGTTCTCTGTTTCTGATGATGACAAAGCTACGGGTGCATTGCATCCCAATAAGCTCATTAATGCGATCAGAGCTGTGAAGTTTCGGTGGAGCAGCGGCTAGGCCAAACACGGAAAGGCCGATCGATGGTGCTTGGACTCGGGCGTCGGGCAAGGTACGTAGGTACTTGAATAGCGGAGCCCACCCGTCAGCGAGAAAAGTGATGATGCTTGTACAGATATGGATGCGACCATGGGTAGGGTACCTCTGTAAATCCTCAGCCCACTTCCTCACGAATTCAACTCTTACTTCTGCGCCAGCGATTAGGCTTTATAACAACACAATGGCTGATGCACCCCCTTCCCTCCCGGGCCCCATGCCCTCGTCCTTTGACGGCGACCAGTATGCTTCAATTCCAGCTTGCTATACCGTACAGTCCCCGCTCATGCGATAGTCCAGGGAACTTCAGAATGAAAGACCAATGCAAAAGGTCCTCCGCAAGATCAAGGAGGAGCCATTGATCCCCCTCGGTATAGAAAACACCTCGGACTATTTGCCGCACGAGACAGCTTCTAATAGCTATAGGAATGGGCCTGACCACTCTCGCCTTTATCAATGCCTACCGAGCTCTCCGCCGTGGCGATTCAAAACAGGCGAACCGCATGTTCCGAGCCCGAGTTGCAGCCCAGGGATTTACCGTATTCGCCATGCTGGCCGGCAGCATGTATTACCAGAAAGACCGCGAGAAGAGCAAGGAGCTCCGCCAGCTCCAGGAGCAGAAGGATGCTGAAGAGAAGCGACAAAAGTGGATTCGTGAGCTCGAGGCTCGAGATGAGGAGGAAAAGGCCATGCGTGCGAGACTCGAGAAAAAGAGGCAGCAGGTCCAGGCCCAGCGGGCCGAGGAGGCCAGGGCAACTGCAGAATTGCAACCCGAAGGCAACGAAGCTTCCAGTAATGGAGGTATTCTAAGCCGCATTGGTTTATGGCCACAGGGCAGCAAAGAAGAGAAGAAGGATGATGACAAAACTGCCGCACAAGCTGTCGAGGACGACGCCAGCGCAAAGAAGAAGAAGAATCCCAAAAGTTCTCTGGGCGATCTCGGCGAAATTATCTCAAAGAGGAACGACTGAGAACAAAGAATGTACATTAGGAGCAATTGGTCATGATGGAGGTCTGTATAAAAGTTTCGCATGCCGATTTATGGCAGAAGGACATTGTGTACGATAGACAACGGGCGGTACCTTCGAGTACAGCGTGGCTCTACTCCCAAGCTAGGCAAATGTTAATGATTGTTTATGTTTGTTGAGTTTGAAGATTGTGAAGTTTCAAGACAGGCAGTTGCTAAACCGATGTGCTATCCAGGCCCTAAGAACATATATTGTCTGGTAATGCTCAATTTCCTAGGAGTTGCTTCATGTCATAGACCCTCCACTTCGGTTTCCTCCAATTAACCCCGCCATCTCAAGCAACGCCCGGTCAGCCTCGATATCGCCATTTCCAAGATTGATCTTGCGGCGAGCTTCAGCTTCTCGTTCCTCCCAAGCCCATTTCTCGGCTTGGGCTTGGGCTTCTTTATCACCGCCACAGCCCCAAACTTCGAGACTCTCAATCTGGAATCGGTCCTGGAAATCATGCTTTCTCACCACACTCGAGTGAAATGCACCTCCTCGAGATGTAAAATCGTGGTTGAAGACTGCAAACTCGAACGAGTCGTCAAGTAATAATGATACAGGGCCTAGGCGTAACATGTCGGCCTTTCTGTGAGCTTGAGATGGGTGTGGATGAGGGCAACCGAATGACATCATGGGATGGTGCGCTGGTGCTTTTGTGAAAGTGACATAGTCCTTGTTAATAGTTGATGCCGGGAAGACATCGTGAATTGGTTCAAGTTGAAATAGTGTTGTTTCTGAATCGCCGAAGCATTCCCGGTGGGTGTGTTTCCAGGGTTCACGAACGTAGACACCAAAAGTGAGCCGATCCGATTTGCTACCGTGAGGGAACCGCTTCGGAGGCAAGGATGCCGCGAAACTGCTTTCTTGACCACCCTCCGGCTCATCTCCCAGACGTGTTCCACTCACCAGGAGCAGTGTTGGGGCTTGCCAGTTGAAAACCTTCGTCTGGAAACTTCCCATGGAGAAGCCGGCATCATTGCCTGAGTAAAGGAGTCTCACTCGCCGGAAGAGATCTGTCCCAGGAAGGAAAAATGAGATCTGGGACAATGTGTTCTGATTTAGTATGTCGCCGGTGTCGGTCAATAGAGGTTGTGCTACTTTTTGAGATGAAGTAGTAGCTGGGGTATCATTTTGATGTTTGGAGAAATCTAGATTTTGCGAGAAAAGAAAGCGCTCAAAAAGACCATTGAATCCACGAAAGAGATTAGGGCAAATCACAGGTATGATTGTTCTGAAGTGGTTGTACTTGATGCCAGTTGAGGTTTCGGCATTAACGAAGGAGGCAAGAATGCTTTCAGCGGCGCTACGGAGGCCTTCGAGTTCTTGCCCAACAACACGGCTTGAATACATCGAGAGGCTTTCTTGAGGATCAAGCGGAGCGGCAAGGAGAAGCAGCATGACAAGTTTTCGGAAATTGTCAGTTGGGATCGTTGCGCCATGAAATATTGGCGCATGGCCCTGGTCCACGGCATCCTTGATGTCAAGCAATTCAAAAGCTGTCAATACGAGGTCGTCGTCCTCACCGTCTTCGTCTTCGTCGCCAGCTGCATCAACCGCGAAACCGGCCACACGGGACCTGACCTTCTCTTTATCGTCTTCGGACTCGGTAGGTGCGATATGTGAAGTGTCTGGATGGGCTCCTGCTTCGGACATTTTACGATCAAAGACAGCCAAGCTCTTGAACAGTAGTTTGGTCCTATCTGAAGAGCCCCGCGCCAATACGGTTCGGTAGCGCTCAGTCATGATGACGACCACCATAATCATCCGCTGAAACTCCAAAACTACAGGTGCATTTTGAAGAAATGGAAAAGCGCCGATGTAGGATACCATTTGGAAAATAACTGGCGAGGTGCCGAGAATGTCTGGTATTTCCAGGTACCGGGCGATAGTGTCCTCTTTCAGGTATTTGATAGAGTCCTGTTGATCCGCAAGGCTCTTGAAAACATCTCTGAGTGAGTATAATTCAAGAGAGGTGAAACATTTCTTCATAAACTTCTCCGTCTATGAGATCGTGTTAGCGGTATTCAGAATTGGCTCTGGTAACGTATGATAGGAGAAGCTCACAAGTTGTTGGGTTAGCTCTTCATGCGACCGCCGCTGCGGATGCTCATCCGAAAGATTCTGACCCATTTTGCAAAGGCCACTGCGTTCGCATCACTCTGATACTAACAATTAACGATGGTATGCAAAGGTGAAGTTGAGAGTGCCTAGACGACTTCATGACATTCCGGACCCTCAGTGAGGTAAGGTGAGGTGAGGTAGGGTGGGTGAATTGCTGACAGGGAAGGTACGTACACATACCTACGTAATGATTCGCTCCTCCCCTGTCCTGTCGCTCATCCTCATCCTCATCCAATCCAATGTGCCGAGCATTTAGGTAATGACGGCGTCTTGATCGACTTGATTAACACGTGAATCGGCGGCATCGTCGGCCCGGACTTTTATGACTTCTATCGTGGGATTTGAAGCTATTCCTAGAAACCAAGATGCCGATGCCAATGCCAATACCAATGCCAATCATGCAACTGAATCAGGTCTCGAAACGGATGTATTCATTATCCAAGGTAGGTGTGTAAATACTGATTTGGGCCCAGTAAACAGACCCTGCGAACAAAACCAATCAAGTAAGTACCTTTGCCTCTAACTACTGATCTCCGTATCTCAATCTGAACAACTTCAGCTTGACTACTCCTTCACACCGCTCTCATCTTCCGTCTTCTTCTTCTTAGTGCCCCAGGCGTCCTCAAGCTCACTAACGAACTCATCGCACCATCCGTTTGCTTTTGTCTTTTCAAGCTTCTCCTTCATTTTCTGGTCAGCCTCGGTGAGCTTCTTATCATCGGTGTCCTTACGCTGGGGATCTTCACCTTCTTGGCGCTTCTTGTCCAGGGCCGACTCAAGAAGTTTGTTCACAACCTCAGAGTGCTTAATGTCGTCCTTCTTTCCCTGCTCTGCGGTCTTCATCCTCTTGAGCCCCCAAAACTTCGTGACCTTGTCCAAGAGTCTGCTATCCAGCTCCTTGGCCTCCAAAAACTCTTCCCTGGTGAATTCGTCGAACTCCAGGCTCTTGGCGATTTCCAGGCGTACCTCCTTCTTGATAGATTCTAGCTTCAGCTCTTCCTCCTTAGGCTTGGGGGATTCCTGGCCAACAAGCTTGAGGAGTTCTTGGTGCTGAGGAGTACCGGCACCCTTGGAGACAGCCTCGTTGAATTTCTCGATGAGAACAGGGTTCAGCTTAGATGTGTTGACGAACTCATAAGCGAGTGACTGGTCCAGCTCAAGCTTTCTCGCGAGGGCCTGGCGCTCGTATTTGTCCAGCTTAAGCAGACTTTCGAGTTGCTTCTCGGTAAGCTGGTGTTCAGATCGCTTCCGTATCTTGTCTATCCCCTCGGCTTTCTCCCTGGCTTTCTTCTTGGCTTTGTCCTTGACTAACTGGTCATCTTCACCGGATCCCTTAAATTCCAACGCCTTGATCTGCTTGACAATGTCTGCATATTGAGGGTCTGATTGAACTCGGATCCACTCATGGTTCAGTTGCTCGAGATTTTCACCCTTATAGACTCTGTTCTTCACGAACCATTTTCGCAAATCTTTAGGCAAGTCAAGCTTTTTGGCTGCAGCATCGCGATGCACTTTAGGCATACGCCCGATCACACTTAGCTGATTTGGAGTGAGCCTTTTCGGCTCACTGGCCAAGACTTCCTCCCTGGCCTCCTTCTTGAACTTGGCCTCCTCCTTCATCTCATCTTTGGTCAGGGGCTTGAGCTCGTCCTGGGTATTCTCGTCCTGACCCTTAGATCGCTTGGACTTGGTGTTGAACTCTTGAAGGATCTCTTTGTATTTGGGATCGTTGTAAATGCGGACATACTCCCAGTTGAGCTTGTGAATCATATTTTGGTCGAGCTTTCCGCAATCTACAAACTCATCTGTGAGTTTCGCGGGAAGATCGAGTTTCTCTGCCACTACGCGTCGTAGGACTGGATCCATGGCCTCGATCTTTTTAAGTATCCTATTGGGGATCTTGGGCGGGGATGATCGCTTCCCATGAGACTTGAGCTTCTCAAGGATCTTCTTGTATTTGGGGTCCTTTACAATACGCGCGTACTCCTTCTCAAGCTTCTTGATAAGGCCGGGGTAGAGCTTTCCGGCACTCACAAACTCTTTTTTGAGTTTCGCGTCAAAATCGAGTTGGTCTGCAGCTATGCCACGAATCATAGGATCCATAGCCTCGATCTTTGCGAGCATCTCTGGAGTGAGCTCAGAAGCAGATCTCTTTCTGTCGGAAAACTTGCGTTCTGTGTTGATGTACTTGATGAAAGGTGCGTACTTGGGGTCATCGACGATGGTAGCATACATGGCATTGAGCTTGGTAATCAGCTTGGGGGTGCAGTCCTTGAACTCGCCGAATTCCTTTCTGGTCTGCTCATCAAGGGGCAGGCCCATTGCGAGTCGCTTTCGGTCCTGCGGCTTAAGGGCTTCCAGGTTGAGGATTTGAGTGGTGTTGAGCTTGAGTACAAGCTTGTTTGATCTCTTGGCGTGAGGCTCACGACGAGACTGGTGATCCTTGTATGCCTTCGTTTCATCTTCGCGGTCCTTATGATGTCCAGACTTTCTGTAGTGATCGATGTGCTTACGATCCAGCTTCACTCTTTGATCCAACGAGCCACGCTCGCTATCATCGTCGTGCTTGTACTCAGAATGCTCCTTATAGTGGTATCTTGGCTTGTCGTATGAGTAGTGGTCCTTTGATTTCTTATAGCCCCCATGGTGCTCGGCCTCTTGATCGTCATGATGAGGTTCGGGCCTCTTAGGTTGCTCATGGTCCTTGTCATCATGTTGATGATCCGGCTTCCTATAATGATAGGTTGGCTTGTGCTGCGAGACGTGATCCTTGCTCAGTTGGATATGCTTCTTCTCATCATCATGCTTATAGTCGAATTTCTTCTTGTACTGAGAAATAGGCTTATCATGCGAGTGTTGACCCTTCTCAGAGTCCTCATGGTCATGATCATAGCCGTTCTTCTTTTCGTCGTGATGTGAGTCCAACTCCTGATGTTTATAGCCTGGCTCATAGTGAGAGGAACGGTCTTCGCTCAGCTTGATATGCTTCTTGTTGCCATCATGCTTGTACTCGGCATGCTCTTTGTATAGATAGGAAGGTCTCTCATGGGAGTGGTGCTCTTTCTCGGACTCATGGTGCGAGTCCTGATCATCTTCGGATGGCTTAGACTTCTTGGAACGGTATTCAGGGGCTGCCCTCTTGACAGGAAGAAGGTCGAGGAGGGATTCGATGATTTTTTGCAGTGCTTTCTTCTTCTCTTCACCAATTTGCCTATCCTCTGCTTGATTAGACTTCTTGTATCCATTCTTGGGCTTATAATGATGGTGAGTGTCCTTTGATGGCCTCAAATGGGGTTTCTTGTCATCGGGGTAGCGATTATTGTGAGGGCCAGGGTGGTCCTTATCAGAGTAATCATGAGAAGGATAAGATTTATACTGATAGGATGGTTTTTTGGGAGAGCCATGGTGCCCATTATCCTTTTTGAAAAAAAGGTCGATCAGGTCGAGAATCCTCTTGGTAGCTTCCACAACAGGCTTGGGGCGGTGCCCTTCAGTGTGATTGTGACCTTTGCTTGACTGGGGGTACTTCTTTTCACTTCCAAAGTGACCCTTGTCGTGACTATCATAGTGCTTAGACTTGATATGCTCACGGTGAGGCCTAAGAAGGGAATGGGCTTTCTTAGCAGTTTGAGTCTGGTTTTCCTTGTAGAGTTCACCAGAATGTTTCGATTTCCCGTCCTGATAGAGAGACTTAGGAAAGGAATGGTACTCCTTTGTTGGCTTCTTGTGTTTCTGCTCGTCATCATACTCGTACTTGGGATACTTCGTTTCATCAGTCGACTCCTGCGAGCTTACACGAAAGATTTTGACAAGTTTGGCGTCGCCATGGTCATGCTTCTTGTCGGAATCATGATGAATCTCGTAGGTTGGAGCATGAATGTTGATGTCGACATCGCGCTTGACGTCCATTCCACCTCGATGAATAAACTTGTACAGTTTGCCATCCTTCGAGTTGGTCTGTTCCTTCTTCTCTTCCTTATCATGCTTCTGTTCATATTTGTGCTTGTGGTAGCGCTTGGGGGTCTCCAACACAACATCTTTGAGGAAAGGGTATTTCTTTTTCGCTTCCTTCTTCTCCTCCATATCATGCTTCTGTTCAACTTTGTGCTTGTGGTAGGACTTGGGGGTCTCCGACTCAAGATCTTTGAGGAATGGGAATTTCTCCTCGGTTTTCTTCTTGGCTTTCTTGAACTCGTCTGTGTGGAAGATGAGTTTACGTTCCTTATCCTCCTCCTCCTCGTCTTCTTCACCATGATCGTGTTGCTTCTTCTTGAAGTCATGGGAGTGATGCTTCTTGTGATCATCATCATGCTTCTTGCTCTTATGATGATGGCCATATTTTTTGTGCTTCTCCTTTACTTTATGAGAGTGGCGAACATGTTCTTCCTTGTCATCGTCATCATCGTCGTCGTCGTCATACTCCTTCTCTTCATGATGATGCTTGTGGTCCTTGGGTCCATAGTATCGGTGTGAAGTGATCTTTGTGATCTTTTCGTAGCCGTGAAAGTTGTTCTCATGGGGGTCGGCATCATTGTACTTGTGTTCTACAACCTCCTTCTTGATATCATCCTTGGGGAGGACTAAGGCCAAGCCCAGCGATGCCTGGAGGGCAACGAGAATGGTGTCGGTCAATCTCATGATTGCCGGCTCACTCTGGCAAATAGTAGATGACCAAGGTAAACGAGGGATGATATAGGTAGTCACAATTGAGCTATGTATCAAGCACAGAAGATAGAACAAGTGGTCAGGACAGGGAAAGAAGCACCCTACTTATACCCAAAGAGGAACTAGATATTCCTCGTGATCTAGATAAACTTCCTGTCCCCCTCTTTTTGATAGCATCATAGCCATCATAGCCATCATAGCTATTGGCATAGCTGGGCGTAACTCGAGACTCGTCTAGAGACAAGTGAGGGCCGCCTCCTGTTGCTCATACACGGATGGCTGAGGACGCCGAAACATATCAACCGAGGAGGGGTTCGATATCGTACGGTTACTCGTCATTGTGTAAGTTCGTCAAGGTATATCGATGGCTGCTACTGTCACAGCTCTCCGAACCATTGTTTGATAAATAGTAAAGTGCACTATATGGTTGATTGTATGCGTAATTTGCTTGGCTGGCGAATCACAGCAGCAAGTATCATTTTTCTTCCTACCGATAGACCTATGACTATGGTAAGGTCCAATCTATCTGTTTGATACTCCTGACTGAGGCAACAGGTGAGAAGCCTGCCTATGGATGCACATTTTCGGTCTCGGAACTATCAAGGTCTAAATTCAGCCTCATCTACAAGTCAATTGCGTGATTTTGATATTGTATTCTAAGGGACGTGCTTGAATATCATCATCATCGAGATAATTAAAAGAGGATACAAGGCTCAGTAGAGGCAACATACTCGTTTGGTAATCTTGGATGTCGAACTCGTTGCACTTGCATTCACAACAATCGTCATGTCATGAAATCACAGTTCATGACGATGCCAAAACGTAATTACCCATGATGGCGATGCCTCTCCGCAGGCTCATGAGTTTCGTTACTACCTACCTAGGTTAACGTTCAAGCTGGTGCCCAGAAAAAGGCGTGACAGATCCTCAACCAAATTGCCACATGTCACCATAAAAAGTTGCAACTCAACTATATTAACTTCACGCCTTCTCTCAAGCCTTAAATCCTGTCTCCTCGTTCTGTCTAGTGGAAAGAATATGCTAGAATCTCGATATGCTTCCGGTAGGAACTTCAACGCCTCTATCGTGGGGCCCAAAGGGTCATCCATACACCATGAATGATACGTAGAAACTTGGTAATTGACCCAGAGATAATAAGGGGGCGCGGGATGGTGCTTGATAACCAGTGAGCAAGTACAAATCCCGATAATGATAATTCGCCGGACAGTTTCAAGAGGTTTGGATTCCGCCAACAAATCTCTGCTCTTCTTTAGTTCAACATAATCTAGGTAACTTATATGCAAGTAGCGCCTATCCATCCCACGAATAATGTCCCTGTCAACACTCCTAACTTCGCCAAAACAAAATGCCAAACTCCATTGTAAACGCACCAAACTAAGAATCAGTTTGTGCAACTCATAGTGAAAGAGATTTTCAAAACTCAAGACATGCTTAGGCTTCGTTGTCCTTTGCAGAAACTTGATTGATCAAGCGCTGGTATCTAGCTTCAGCCTCCTGCTCAGCATATCGAGCTGGCTTTGACAGCCGTCCTTCTACTGGTGGAGTTTCAGAATTGCCTTTGGACGTCCAAAGAACGCCAACCTTCGCGGCGGGTTTCGGCTCTATTGCCGAGTCAGGCTTTGGTGTCGAGCCGTTTGTCCTGGGTTCCTCCGAGGCCGTGCCGTCTTTCTCTCCGTCCGAACTGGCTTTCGGGAGCCTCATAGCCAGGAGAACATATTCAGCGCGGGTCATATGATCCATGACATCGTCCATATAGCGCCTGACCTCATCTTGGGGAGCGACCACTCGTGCAAGATTCTCCAGATGGCGTCCAGATGGCGTGAAAAGACGTATCGTGACAGGCTGGTAGTAGTCTAGCTTTGGGTCACCTCCATATTCAGATGTGCTTCCCTTTCGAACAATTAGAAATGAAGCCACAACTTGCTGGCCAGTCGTAGTTGGTAGATATTCCAGAATACTGAATTTGGGGAAAAGATATCGGTCACCGCTTCCAAAGTCAAAAACAACAGCAGTAATGTCTGGTTTCGGCGCAGGTGGTGGCCCCTTTGATCTGAGAGCCTGTGGGTTAGGTGGAGGTCCATTATGGGGTGCCTTTTGTTGTCCATTCAGTATGCCGTTCGGGGTTTGCTGGCGGATTTGTACAGGAGCAGGGGAAGCTCTCGGAGCGGTCTTCATATCGCGATGCAGCCTATCTAAAATTTCCTTGAGATCTGTGGCATCAGTGAAACCGGGTCGGTTTTCCGCAATCCTTCGAATCATATCCCGTGTCCTCTGGTCCTCTAGGGCAGTTTTGACCAGCAGAACGACAAGCGGATCACTGCCTTGTGGTGGCCGCAGCTCGGATGACTTCTGGTTGGGGTTAGAGGCCAAGACAATATCAAGAATAGTCCTGACTTCCGTAGCAAAATATTGCACTGTGCGACCATCGACAAGAAGACGATCTGCCGATGGCCCTTGCTGCCCCCCTCTACTTCGATATTCGGCATTCAGTTGATCTATGATCTTCTGAAAGTGAGCTAATTCACCCTCTTTTGCTTGCCCCACGGCCACTCTCTTCATAAGGTCCCGCAGCTCCGCATCTCCTGAAGCCTTCTGTGCCAATAAAGCAATCACAGGATCGTTGGCCGACGGTTTCGCAGCAGGGGCAGCACCTGGAGCAGTGACACCTGGAGCTGAGCCAGGAATTGGAGCTGGAGCAGGTTTGGCGAGGCCACTCGCGGGCGGATGAGAATTTGGAGGCGGTCGAGGTGCTGGAGACATCGAAGGAGCTGCCATCGGCCCAGTCGGTGCTGCTGGTGCCACGGTTGGCCCTGAAGCTGACATAGGCGCCACTGGTGCGGAAATGTTGGGAGACGCTTGTGAAATCGAGGGTGTTGGAGATGGTGCTACAGGCCCTCCAATTTGCGGTCTCGGCTGTAAGCTTGGGCTCGGGGATGGTGTCGCTGTGTTCACTGGCGGGGCTGTCGTTGAAGTAGCAATCTGGCCTTGAGAGGTCCTGGTAAGGGTTTGAGATGATTGAGCTGGACTTTGAGCTGGACCCTGGGATGGACTTTGTGGTGTGGATTTCGCTGCCGCCGCCCTATTCTGTGTCGGGGTGCCAGCTGCCGATGCTGGAGGCGCGAGTGGTGGAGGCATTGAACCATTTGGAGGACCATATTGAAGGATTGGACGGTGCTGTGGTTGCTGCTGTGGTACGGGCTGAGTCTTCGGTTTCGGATCCTTCACCACGTACATCGTGGCTTCGATTATATGAGGCTCAATCGTGATCGTTACGGTGCCCACCTTTGACATGGTATCCTTGGGCGGGTTTTTAGGGTCTTCATTGAGAACGCCCTTGCGCTTATGGGGTTTCGTCCAATACTTTGCAAATAAGCCTTCGCTGATCCATTTGTGACGGGATCGGAAGAGCGATTCGGCAAGTACACCACTTCGGGGACGCGTGAGTCAGTACCTCTATCTCGTGGGTAAGTTCAACATGGCATACCTTTCACCAACTGACTGATACTCCTTTGACGACAATTCTTCTGGCTGCGCGACTTCTACCGTTGGAAGAGGTTTACCAGCTTGAATCGATTTGGGCAACGGCGGCGGGGGAGGTTCTTCAGGCTCCGGAGCTGGTTCTGGCTCTGGAGCTGGCGGGGGAGCAGCAGGCGTCGCAGAGCGCTCTCGAGGTGTAACATTGCGCTTTTTAGCAGCATTTTCGCCTCGAGCGGCAGCCCGCGCGGGCAGTTTGCGCTTTCGCTCCATGAAAGCTCACACAGTAGACAAACTACAGAGAGCGCAAGGGAATTACACTGCGAGACTGGAGCCAATCATTATATAAGGGCCATGCAAGGCGCGTCTTGGAGCAAAATGAACGTGTAAAGCTGAGTAATCGATCGTTTTCGCGAGCAAGAAATAGTCGGAGAAGCGAAGGTGAGGTTGGGCCACGAGGGAATATTGAGAGAATATGGAGGTGGGAGGTGGAAGATGGGAATGAAGGCTCTCATTGGAAAAGAGGAAGTGGTAGTAGCATTCAGTAGCAACAGCCACCTACGGACAGCAATCCGAGGCTCAGTGGTGCAGGTCCAACACACCTTCATGATGGAGCATGGAGTGTTAATCCAGGGTTCTGATTGGACAGAAAAGGCGAAGGGGCCAAGATTTAGCACTCCAGCGCCTAGGTTTAAAAAAGAAGCTGGGGCTCAGCAGGGACCTTACAGGACCGGGCCTATTTGGAAGCGCCGTGAGAGTGTCAGAGTCGACTATTAGGTTTTATCGGTAAAAGCAGACGGCTGGTGAAATTACTTCTGTCAACCTATTGGCCGGTGATAGTGCACAAGCTTCCTTTACAAAAACTCATCAACATCTTACTTTAGCAGTCACCAAATAACCAACGTATATCAATTAGCCTGAGGTAAGGTGAGGTGTGGTCATTTCGCGGCTCTTTCTTCCCAGCAGAATAGGTGGAGCCACAGCCGCATCAGACGCGCCTCAGGTACATGAATGCAGGCGTAGTCTTCCCCGCGTGAGAAGTCCCGTTGATGATCACTGGTGCTTAGCGCGGACAAAGCAACGTCTGGTTCGACCTCAGGCCTTCATGGGCTCTGCCTTGTACTTAGCAGGTGAGCGTATTATTCGCCTCGGCCAAGGTAGCGTTTCATTTTCAGAATCCCTCATAGATCTCTTTTACTCTGATTTGTTATTTGATCCATCAACAGAAAATCATGTCTTATCTTCATCCCGCCGTCAAGGCTGTGGTTATAGCCGTCGCAGCGCCACTGGGCCTCTATTGCGTTTTCTTGGGACTGGGAATGACACCGTTCTTCCAGAGACAGTATGTTTGGGTCATGTATCATTGTGGATTTAATCGTTTTTGACTCTCTAATCAGGTTTCTATATGCACACAAGTTCAATACATTATTATGGAGTAATGTCAACCAACCAGAACGATGGGGTTTCGCTCGTATGTCCATACTCTGAGATTTTGAATTCATAACACTCATATAATGCTCGCATAGGGAATCAAGTAACTCCGTTCTCGCTAAAGACCCCTGACGGTGAATCAATTTACGCTTGGCATATCCTTCCACTCCCTCTATACCTACAGAATGAGGCCAAGATCGAATCCCAAGAGCCGGGTTTCTCGGCAGACTTCACCAATACCGAGTCATTTCGTCTACTAAAGGAGGATCCAGAATCTCGCTTAGTGCTATATTGTAAGTTGAATCTGGAGTTCCCATCCTATCGATACTTACTCATATCTCAGTTCACGGTGTAAGTGGTGACCGCCATATTCTAACCGATATCAACTGACATCACAGAATGCTGGTCATATCGCGCAAGCTATTCGACCTCTCAGCTATCATTCTCTGACTGATACTTCCTCATATCATGTTATCGCTATCGACTACCGAGGATTTGGTCATTCTACGGGCACCCCTTCAGAGACTGGAGTAATTCAAGATGCTGCAACACTCGTTGACTGGGCTACCAACGTGGCAGAGATTCCACCAAGTCGCATCGTCCTGCTCGGGCAGAGTTTAGGTACTGCTGTAGTCAGCGCCGTTGCTGAAAAGTATGCTCTTCAGGGCATCGAATTTGCGGGTATTACCATAGTCGCTGGCTTCAGCGATCTTGCAAATCTCCTGTTGGGTTATCGCATCGTGGGTATCTTCCCTGTACTTGCTCCCTTCCGCATGTGGCCTTCTCTCGTGCGCTTCATCCACCGTTTCGTTGTCGACAAGTGGCATTCAGATAGAAGGCTCGCCAACGTAGTCCGCCATACGAAGACGAGACTCAGGCTCAATTTGATTCATGCAAAGAATGATAAAGACATTCCTTGGACGGAAGACAACAAGTTGTTCAGAGCCGCTGCCCAAGAGACTCTTGGAATTATGGATGACAAGGACTTCGAGGCTTGGAAAGAAGAGCGCACCATCCGGAAGGGCAAGGATGCATTTGTGACCACTTGGACTGCTGAACCCAACATGATTATCCGCCAAGAGCTTTTCCCATACGGTGGTAAGTGGATATTTGTTCATTCTTGTTGAGATTGAATATTGATCAGAGACTTAGGCCACAACGATATCATGGGCTATGCGCCTGTTGCGCTGGCCATCATGAGGGCATTTGATCTTCACGGAACGACCTACAGTGATGAGTAGACTGGAAGGACACATCGTATCGTGGTAGTTGCTTGGCGTCTAATAAGTAGCATCCTCATATCTGGCCCATTGAGTTGTAATGAACCAACTCATACACGATTTCTCAGTAACTACTTTGCGCAGATCCGACAAGCGACGTAGAATTTACTTTATTATTTTGTGGAACCCGACTTCGAGGTTTCCATGTTTCCAGTGTCATGTATTCCTAGGAGTGTATACCACTTCTCTTGGCTACCTATGGGTATTCAACATCTGAGTATGCTCATATCGGCCTCTAGAGTTTGGACTTCAAAGAAGGATAGGTGAATTCGTAAAGCCAATAATGAATAGTCTTATAGGCGATACTTCCCAGCACTGGATTCTCTAAGGGATTCAATACTAGAAACAACCATCATAGGACTCCTCATCACTGACTTCCTCGTCCACTCGGTGGGCACCTCTGTCTTGTGTTGAAGAGAGGCGATTGCTAATCCAGGCATTCCCTATTTTCTCGTCTATTGAGACAACCCCCCGTCAGATATTGATTGAACTGGCCACTCATCAAAGTTGCCGCCTTCACTTCAGCTTCAATTATACCAGGATGCAGCTGATAAAGATAATCTCTTGCATATACCGCAGTCATTGTTCCTGAATATCCCTGCCATTTATCGTTCCTGCGTGAGTTGGAGTGATCACAAAATCCTCGGATCGCCAAACATGGAAAGTGTCCGTCAGCTTAGCAGACTCATATTCAAGGCAAAGAACGTCCTTTTTTGCTGCAAGTGAGATACAAGTCGAGGCATCTTTCATTACATCATTCAATGAAGTAATCACACTGTAGTGAATAGCAGGATTATCCTCATTGTCGGATAGTTCTCTTAACCATTTTCTAAATTCTTGGGTGCACGCGGTGTCGAGACCGCAGTTCTCCGTATCCTTCTTTCCCCTTTTTTTCAAGCTTATAAGAAGTCATTCAGCTTTTTAGCTATTCTATCAGTACCTAAGCTAAACAATAAAACCCCTATAGGCTGCCAGTCGATATGAAAGTATTCAATATCAGATACGGTTTATCTGCCTTGATGACGCAACTGCTGCCTTAGTAAAGCAGTATAAATACCAGCTGGATAGCTCTCATCAGCTAGGTCAACCTAACTAAGAGGCACTCTTCATTCATATATCGCACTCCAAAGCACGTTGTCAATCTGACTACTGATCAGACTCTCCGTATCCATAGCTCGTTCACTCGTGTGACTCCACCGAATTAGTATTCATATACGAGAAAAACCAACCACGACGTCACGGGGCGAATACCAAGTTTGCAACTTGAGGCACCTCCCGTGGTTGTTCTTATAGCCGTTTAACCCCACCTAGCGTTAGCAGTGGAGGGCAGACACATGCTACCGTGAAATTACCCCACCAAAGAGCTCCTTTCGATTAAACCCCCCACCCCACGTAACATTACCTAGTTAGCATCGACGACACCTACACCAAAAGGTCTATCTCGAATCATGTCCGAGGAGTCCAAGCCAGTTGAGCCCGTCGTCGACGAGACGAACGCCGAGCTCAAGGGCAAGGCCATCGCTCACGCCGACGCCGACGCTGAAGCCGACGACAACGATGCCGAATCTGGATCCGAGGAGGAGCATGAGGAGCAGCACGCTATTGAGGGTTCCGGCGACAAGAAGAAGAAGAAGAAGAAGAAGTCGAAGCGATCAAAGGTCAAGGAGGCCCTGACCGGCTCAAAGTCCGCCCCGACCGATTCCGATTTCCACAAGGCCCTCGATGGCCTCACTCCTCAGCAGATCAAGGAGTTCCTCGCCCTCAACCCGGCCCTCTCCCAAGAGGTGAATAAGGCCACCAAGAGCGATGATCCTTCCGGCTCTCAGGCTGCCGACATGCTTAAGAAAATGTCACTACAAGATATCATGACTGGTCTTGCCGCTGGCGGAAAGAACGCCAAAGATATGGGATCGTATAAGTTCTGGCAGACGCAGCCTGTGCCCAAGTTTGGAGAGGATGCGACTTTAAAGGAGGGTCCTCTGCGCATTCAGAAGGTCGAGGAGGTTGACAAGGAGCCCGCCCCTCTGATTCCCGGCTTTGAATGGGTTACAATGGATTTGACCAAGGAGGACGAGATCAAGGAGGTTTACGAGCTGTTGAACAAGCACTACGTCGAGGACGATGAGGCTATGTTCCGCTTCAACTATTCTCCCTCTATTCTCCGATGGTAAGTTGTCAAATTGCTAAGCTAATAAATGAAAAAGCTTTTCCAAACTCGTTCCCGCTAACACGCACAGGGCCATGATGCCTCCTGGCTGGAAGAAGGAATACCACGTTGGTGTCCGCGCAACTCAATCCCGTCTTCTCGTAGCTTTTATCTCAGCCATCCCCGTTCATCTGCGTGTCCGCGAGAACGTTGTCACCTGCTCTGAGGTCAACTTCCTCGCCATCCACAAGAAGCTCCGAGGCAAGCGTCTCACGCCAGTACTCATCAAGGAGATTACCAGACGCAGCAACCTCAACGAGATCTGGCAAGGACTCTACACCGCAGGTGTCGTCCTTCCCAAACCCGTCAGCACATGCAGATACTTCCATCGCGCTATTAATTGGCAAAAGCTTTACGAGTGCGGTTTCAGTCCTCTTCCCGCAAACAGCAAACCTCAGTATCAAGTTCGGAAGTATGCGCTACCAGACGATACTAGCACCAAGGGCCTGCGACCGCTGGAAGAGAAGGACCTTGATGCTGTTATGGATTTGTATAAGCGATACAATGCGCGCTTCGATATGACGCCAGAGTTCAGTCGCGAGGAAGCTCACCACTGGTTTGTCCCCAAGGTCGGACCTAACGAGCAGCAGGTTGTGTGGACATACGTTGTTGAGGTAAGTCATTGTGAGAACAAAAGCTCGGAGAATGGGCACTAATCAACTACAAGGACGAAAACAAGAAGATCACTGACTTCTTCTCTTTCTTCTGCATCGAGTCGACTGCTATCGGAAACGCTAAGCACAACGTTATCAAGGTTGCTTACATGTTTTACTACGGTACAGATGTCGCGCTGCAGGACAAGTTCGACAAAGCTGCTCTCAAGAAGCGCCTTAACGAACTTGTTCACGACGCCCTTATTATCTCCAAGCGCCACAAGTTCGATGTGTTCAACGCATTGACGCTGATGGACAATGCGCTCTTCCTGGAGCAGCAGAAATTCGGAGCCGGTGATGGTCAACTTCATTATTACCTGTTCAACTACCGTGTTAACCCAATTGCTGGTGGTGTCGATCGTAAGAACCAGCTTGACGAAGAGAACCTGAGTGGTATCGGACTTGTGATGCCTTAAGGTGGATGTTGAAGAGTTGTGGATTTACTACGCAAATATAAGTGGACAATGACTGAACGACCAGGTCTGATTCGTGGGACACCAGAAAGGAGTTCAATCTGGAAAGAAACAAAAATAAGAAGCAATAAAAAGATATTGAGAAATGGCTTGAAAAGAGTACAAGTCTTGATTTGGCGTATATCCGATTATGAATTTGCTGTCTGAGATTCATTGCCTGTTGGAGTTGTTTAGTCAATTGGCGATAGCTGAATGGTGGCTCACGGGCGTATTAAACTCCGCGACTATAGCTAAGTTACCCATGGTCTAGTCTATAATTCAGAGGATTTGCTACCTCGGTCTCACTTTTGTCGAGACTGGAATGTAAAGATGCCATATCATGTTCGGATTCTGCACGTGGCGTGCCTAGTCCCATGGCGATCAAGCACTGTAGGTAGGTATGTAGCGCCGAGGCATGATGCAGCGATCCATGTCGCCCTCAGTCACTCACTCACTCTCTCTCGCCCTGGCAAAGTAGCAAACTTGCAAGTTGAGTTGTGACAAGATATTCCGAATACTACCTCTACCTCTCCACAATTCACAGCTTAAAGTAGTCTCCTACAACAGGGACAACTCTTTGCTTTTTTTATGTCATTTATCCTTCATTCGCTCAAATCTGTATCTTTCTTCCGTAAGGTACTCACTACCCATTCTTACTCGCGTAGTCCGTGAGTGACGTACAGGGTCTTTTTGACAACTGCAACTTGAGATACTACACCATAAAACAACAGCACAAGACTTTCCCTTGAGACTCGGAAGGTGCACAAACGTGTTTGCGCAAGAAAGAGCCCGCACCAAGTTTATTATAAGAGCAAACAAACGTCAAATATCGATTATGGCGTCTGACTTGTGAGTCCTCGACCAACAAACCCGTTCCATCATAGTCGTTCCAGTCTTTTTGTTCGGTATCTTTCCAATCTTTCTTTTCGTTCGCTTCTTTTCATTCGCTCCTCATGTGTGGATTCAAGGCTCACTTACACGCGATACGTCCTCGCAGACAACGCACGTTTCCCTCTGCTGAGGAGACGCTCAAGCACCCAGCCTACCCAGGCACACTCTGGGCCCTAGAACCTCACTCTCACGGCAAGGTCTCTGTCGCTGAGGGTCGCGGTGGTCCAGTCGGCATTGCATGGGAGATTCATGGTCAAGGACCCGTCAAGCTTGTGGTACGTTTCTTCCGTTAAAATTCCCTTAATATCTCCGCCCGCGTGTTACTCTTTCGTACTGTCTGTATCGTGTTTGCTTCAGATTTGGTCATATTCTGAGAGGGGAGGTTGACTGACCGTGTGTAGCTTATTATGGGATTGGCAGGGGTCAAAACATCATGGCAGCGTCAAACAAAGTATTTCGGTCATGATCGAGCCGACAAGTACTCGGTTCTCATTATCGATAATCGTGGTATGGGCGGCAGTGACAAACCCGTGGGTGTCTATTCTACCAGTGGCATGGCACTCGATGCCATCGAGGTCATCGACCATGTTGGCTGGAAGGCTGAACGGGATATCAACCTCGTTGGTATCTCCATGGGTGGCATGATTGCACAAGAAGTTGCTATTCGTATTCCCAAGCGTCTGCAGTCGCTCTCCCTCATCTGCACATCAGGCAAAGTCCAAAACACGAAGGGACTGTGGGAAACTGTCTCAGACACCATGGGTATGATCATCCCCAAGTCCATGGAGCGCAGTATTGTCGACACCGCTCTCCGGCTCTTCACACCCGAGTGGCTCGTCGCACCAGATGATGATATACTACCCGAGCCAGGCGTCACCGCACGATGCAGTCCACCACCGCCAGAGGGTGGTCCAACGTACCGCCTCTTCGAGACCAACTTTCAGCGTTTCCAGGCTCACGAACTCACCAAGAAAACAAATCCCGAGCTGTACACCACCAAAATGCTCATGTGTCAACTTGCGGCGGCAGCTTTGCACAACAAGACGGATGACCAGCTACGGGAAATAGCAGACGGTGTCGGCTCTGACCGCATCATGATTATGCATGGAAAGCGTGACAACATGATCAGCTTTCCAAATGGCGAACGGCTCATTAAGGTGTTGAAACCAGGCTCTGTACACATTGTGGACGATATGGGACACGCACCCATCATAGAGAAGACACAATGGTTCAACAGCGTCTTGGAGGAACAGCTGAGTATGTGGACCAAGCCGAAGGAGGAATAAGGGTGGTGAGTGGCAGTTGTTTTCGAGCATATGAGTAAGCGATGATACTGAATATTGCGATAAGCATGGAACGTTGTAAGAGAACAAGCAGGACAGGCAGTGGAATAATAAGCACTGAATTTCTTGACTGTCAGTTACACGGATGAAGCGTTCAGGGTGCATGTCTCAGTCCAGGAATCACAAATCATGGCACGGGTTCGCTTGTTGGAGGGTAGCAATTATTGAAAAGTCACCAAATCCGACTCCATTTCCAGTGTCTATCATAATGTACATCCATTTTGCATGCCTAGAACTTGGCACCATTTCAACTCTTGGGCAAAGTTACCCGTCCTAAAACCTCTTGATTGATAGACTTTTGGTGTTACAGAAATTCCCATCATGGAACATCCATTGCAAACATGGCGATACCCGCATCCGGGCAATAGCTGTTCTTTTAGTAAGAGATCTATCTTCCCCTGGCTTTCTACCAACATCGACTTGCGATGATTGGTTTCGAGCTTCAGCCCTTCTATCATGCCAAGCAGTTACTTTTTAACATTGCAACCATATTACCTCTCTCCAGCGAGACGTCGGCTCTGGACCTCGCTCAGAGCCTTGGTTCCACTCAGAAGCGACACTACGCCAAGGACAATGACGATAGGCAAGGTCTTGAAGAGGTTCCACTGGGCATAGTAGAGAAACAGCGTGCCCTCGATGCCGACAATGGAGCCAAAGAAGACGGCATGAGAGATGGGTGCAGCTTTGAGGGCCTTGGGCAAATGGTTGACGTTGGCACCAAGGAAGAGCCACTATATGCTTCTTAGTCTGTGATTTTATGATGAGAGCATTTATACGTACGCCGAGGAAAAGAGCAGGAACGCTAGCCACTATAGCGAGCACAAAGACAAGAGTGACAACCATAGGAGGACTCGAGTCGCCGACCTTGAAGATATGGTCGATCTCGGCTCGGGGACCATATCGGACGGGAGCCTCATACTGAGGTGAAGGAGCATTGGAGTCAAGCTGAACCTCGATATCAAAGACGGGGGAGATGAGAGGGTTGGATGAGCCGAATGATCCCAGGACAAGGTTGGCTTTGATGGGTTCGTCGGAGAGGAGTAGCTGGATAGGGAGATCCTTTTGTGACTGTGATTATTGTTAGTCGTAGAATTGATTCGAGTTTGATTGATCGCGTACAATTTCGGCCTCGCCCTTTCCAGACGCCTTCATCTTGAGAGGGAACGGGGCCTCGAGGCCAGTTGACTCAGTGAGGATGAGGAATGCCTGGTGAGGTCGCTTTGGCTCGCCAGCTTCGGTTGTGGTCAACGAGACCTTGACGGTATCCGTCTTGCCTAGAACGAGAGGCTTCTTGGTAGGCTTCTGATCGCTAAATCTATATTGATCAGACCAGTCAGCGGACGTTCTCTCGCACCCAATCGCCCATGATAACACCATCATGGCATCTCGAGAGGGACAGCTAGCTTACTTGGCAGTAACGCCATGGGCTCTCTTGGAGCCGACAGTGACGGAGCCATCGGTGAAACTCCAAGACGAGGCAGCGCTAGCCACGCTAGTTAGGAAAAGTAGGGACGATGCGATTGGGAAGCGCATGATTTTGACGTTATCGCAGGTCGATTCGGTCGGTTCTAGAGTTGAGGCCAAGTGGATGAGACAGGACAGCTAAAGACGGTGGTAGCTTGCATTACGTGGTGGGAGTGGAGAGTCTTGATTGGCTGAAGCTCTAACTTTGGTGGGAACTCAAATAGAGCTCCTGGCTTCAGGGTAGATCCGGGCGATATCTCACTCAGCCAGCTGTGACAATTCCAAACTATAGGTCGAGCCGAAACGTGAACACCAATTACTTCTGTAATCCTTTGATTTTATGGCTAATCCTAGGAGTATAATATCCCGAGGGGGCAATAATAATTCTGACATTAAATCAGTGTATCAAAATTAACTGGTCTAATGGCATATTAAGAGATACTGAATTTAACTAGATATTTTCGTCACTTAGAATAGAGGGCCTGGAATACTGAGCGTATCAGATACTCAATAATACAACAAGATCGTGCTCTCGTGCGACTAAACAAAAGAAGGAATTACAATGAAATTGAGATCCATCATCCATCCTGTCAAGAAACTCTTGGTTCGATTTGCGATCCCTAGGAAATGTGATCCTGCAGAAAAAGTATTGCACGGAGGCACGAGAATTGATCAACATAAAGTATTTTTTTTTGTATTACCATAACCGACCGAAAATAATTCACTGTTTTCTTTTCTCGATTCAATCTTATATATAATCTCTTGAAAGTTGAAAAATCATTTCTATCATAAGCATCTAAAACAATGACTGGTGGTATATCATCCTCTACTGGCTCTTCATCTCAGTCTGGAAACCCTTGATAGCCTCCCTCTCTTCCGTTGTCAAATCAATACCAAAATACTCCTTCAACGCCTCCACTCTCTCATCCTCTGTCTTCAACTCTTTCAGAACCTTTGTCTTACCTCCAGGGTTCTCCTTAACCACATCATTAACCAGCATTCGTTTCCCGTAAATCTCCTCGCCCGTTGGTGACGTTTTGCTTTCCCTAAGAAGGAACTTGACAATCAGAACCGTCGTAGTCTGGAAGCTGCGTGGGCTTGTGCCAGTGTAGCAGTTGGAGATCTCGAAATCGGCTGGCAGCCATTCAACTGAGTGACTGAAAGCATAGAAGCTGATCCAGGGTTGATCGGGAGAGTTGCGGCATTGGTAGATCCAGAGACGGCGGCCGGATGTGAGCTCTGTTTGGCCAGGAATGAAGTCCTTGATAAGCCTTGCGTCTTGAGTGCCTAAATTGCGCCACTCAGCGCCCTCGGCCAGGGGCATGGGCTGTGTAGGGCCGTCGCCGCCAAATGAGGTATCCATGACCCAGCGAGAATTGTCAGGTAGAGTTACAATATTGACAATGTGAACCCTGTAAGCAGTTAGTGAACGATGCTGATGACAGCATTGTATTTCATCTTACCAGCCATGGAAGCCACCATGAGGAACACCATCCTTTCGCAGACGAACTCGCACGCCAACGGGATATACTTGGAAACCAAGAGCTCTCAGCATGTAGCAGAAAAAGAGGTTACTCTCCATGCAGTAACCTCCTCTTCCGCGCCCATCCACCACGATCTTTTGGTACAGAGCTTGAGGCTCGAGAGTGATATTGCGATGCGACGAGTAATGCAGCGTCAAGTTATCATATGGGACTGTTGCGATCATGTGCTGATGCAGCACTTTGAGAAAGGCATGGTCCAGAATAGGTTCATTGCCCACGTAGAATTCTTGAGGGATTTGAAGATGTTTGAGGAACCCAGCGACTTGGGCTTCAGAATATATGGCTGACATGGTGAGGTGTAAGATGAGTGTGGTTTACAACAACTGAAGAACAGCGCCCGTGAAAGACAAGCAGGGAGCAGCTATCACTTGAATGGAAGACCTGCTACTAGACTTATAAATGAGTCAAGATGGCGCCAGAAAAGCCGACGTCAGCTTGAACTACAAACATGATTGATACCCTTACCTTACCTTACTCGTATGTCGCGCAAAACCAAAAACAAAACTGCCAATAACCCGCTGGAAGTTGGCCGTAACGTATCATGAACCCCGATATCTCTCCAGACTCCATAAAAACTGTCCGGGGCTTAAACTTGGAGACGCCCTCCTTTCACAGGCGCCGTCAGGGTCCAAGATAGAGTCGGCCAATCAGGAAAATTTGGCGTCTACTTCGGGAGTTGTTGCTAGTCTGATGTGCAAATCCGTAATAAATGCCTCTCCTTCTCGGTCCGTCTTACACGGTACCCACGGGAAATATGAGCCTTGTCAGGGTTCTTTTGGTACGGCAGAAAGGTGATGAAGACTTCAATGAGCAAGAAGAATAGTAGATTCAGATGTTTGCTAGTCAACCAAAGATTCCTTTACTCCATGTTTGCAAAATAGACTGTTCATTACATGACTCTTTTCATGACATCGCGCCTACAACGCCAAGCCCCAAGAAACCCACCGACATTTCTCTAAATGATGCAGATATGTACGTTCATGTCGTCTAAAGCTCCGTCCTCCGGCTCGACGTGGTTGTCGCAGCTGCACCATTCCTCTTCGCTTTAGTTTCCGCCAACTTGGGCATGAAGTCCTGGATACCCATCCAGTCCACCACGAACGCAGTGGTGATCCTCGCCCAGTCACGCACGGTTGGAAGATCGAGGTGCTCACCATCGTCTGTGATCTCGTGCCACACATCGGGGAAGGGCGATGGAATGAGATGCAAGATGTCGACGCCGCGCTGCATGAAAGGTCGGTGATCATCGTCAATATAGCTGCGAGTGAATCGATTGGCTGTTTTGTTGCCATCTGGGAGGAAAGGAAATCTGGGCTTGGTCTCGAGGACATTGAGCTGTCGCATGCGCTTCTCAAGACCCGCCATGGCTCGGTATGCCCAGTGGGTTGTAAGGAAGTAAGAGGGAATAGTAGGGTCCGCGGATCCTAAAAGATCGAGAAGAACAAACAGACTGATAGAGTCCAGAGGAGTCCTGTAAGTTGCAGTAGATCCATGGAACTGATATTCCCATTCCTCAGCAAGTGATCTTGACACCAAGTTAGTCAATCCTTTGGCTCGTAGTTAATTGCACATTTAACATACCTGGCTCCATAAAGCGAGTCCTCCTCCGTCCAATGCTTGAATGCCTCTTCGCCATCTAGAAAGATAATCTGGATTCCCTGGGTCTCCTCAAGCCCATCATCCGCAGATCCATCCTTCTGCATCTTGTCCCACTTCGCAGTGAGCGCATCCTCAATGCTCCTCGCGACATGCATCAACATGGCACATGGCGCTGCGCTGTCGATTGCGCCAATGAATCCCTCAGGCTCATATTTACTATCGTAGTGCGCAACCAGCGTAAGTCGACTAACGTCTCCGTTCTGCGCCCAAGGGGGGTCTCTTCGAAAGATGAGGTTGGAGAATGGGATCTGCTTGTTTCCGTGTACAGGTGTCTTTGAAGTCGAATTCTGCATTTCGAGTTTCCATTCGGGAAGATTTTCCTTGAAGAACTCGACAAAGTGTTTCTGGGCACGCCGTTGACCCTCGGTGCCAGGCACACGAGGAATTAGGATAGGAGCAAGAAGCTTGCCATCCTTGATATCGAAATCGTCGCCGGGCGAAGGAATGTTCTCGAGGGTTTCATCTGAAAGTGTCATGGACTCGGCGACCGTCGATAGGAGCAGGCAGACAAAGACGAGAAGCTTTGCAAGGAATGACAATTGCGATAGCGGTCGAGGCATTGTCGAAGATTCAGCCATGGATGGGAAGACACCAATAAATACTACTCTAAACCAACAAGAAGCGGGTTTTGGTTCGGGTTATCGTGGGGCGCAAAACTAGCTCATTCCGTCTGGAGGATCAGAGTAATCGTATGATAAATGCGCAAAAGTTCAGCTGTGGCAGTGAGCGTGGACGTTGCGAACAAAGACAGAGCAGAATCAAGCAAACAAATGCTTCGTGTCAGGAGTTAAACCTCTCTCGCCAGCCCATGCAAGGGATGAGGATAAGGCCAGGTACGACAAGAAGGATGTGGGGAGGAAAATAGTAGGTACTTCACCCAGGCCCAATACCGCAGGCGAATCTTTGTACCTTGACACAATACCTTTCCGGCCACAACCCCATATGCGTGTGGCAATAGAGGTCAAAGCTCACATTATTCTCCGTTAATTATTTGTTTTTTCTCTACAACAATACTAAGCCTCAGGCCCATTACGTGTTATGCGTTCTATGAAATGGATCTGGACTTCATGTTGGCCCTTCAGCAGCTATAAACGATATTGGTCGAAGCCCCCTGTTAGCTCTCGGTAGAAGACGCCTTTCCGATGTACACAACAGGCGCGGGGGAGGACGGGAAAGGACCCTTTAAACTATGGTCGAACAACCAGGGGTCGGGTTATTATAGTTGCAATGGTCAACCCTCATTGGTTCACGGCTATAAAGGATCTGAGGGGGGCGTTTGATACGGATAAATCACACCGAACGCATTTGTTAAGTTGGACACGTATTATCTTCACTGGGCTACACAGATCCAGATATACTGTAGTCATTATGTCCATTCTCTTAACCATGCTGCGCTGCTGTAGCCTGAATAATACGGAAAGATCTCGTTGATCATGCCTAAGCCTGGCGTGTAAGTCAGCCGTAGCAAAGGCTGGGACACATCATTCCAGAGACACTGAAATTCGACACAATGCCATTGATGCTGAAACCTCCAGTGAGGAAAGGTATGGAGTTGTGTGACCTAGCCATTTATCGTTAGTTCAGATCTAGACGTTGTGCTTCACATTAAATAGGCATTGTTGGGAGCTAGCTTGGAAACCATTTCTCCCAGCAGCTTTCCCAACCCAATATATACGAGAAACTGACAAGCAGCAAGCAAGATTTCTCGTAACTCTCTACCATAAGTTCCTGCAGCATCCATCATCTGAAGCTAACGCAGGCTACGTCATCCCGTTAACCCCACGTTTCTAAAATGTTGTGAAGCCCCTCATAAGCAACACAGATCAGACAACAGTAAAGGTATCATGAGATTAGTATGGACGGCGATGAATAATGTATCTGAAATGTTGAAGCTTCTTATTGATTTGGCTTGCGCCCTATGCGTCAAAGCCGGGGCCTATCCAAAGGCAGTCTCTAACACCATCATCTACACATACTCCTCATTTTATATCTATTACAATGAATATACCCCAATGGTTGTTGACGTGATACAAGACCCCTTAGTATCCTAGCGTCATGAAGAATGCGAGAAACCCGCAAGTAAACACCAAACGCCCTCGTCATGCTTTGATTCTTCGCTCTGTATTGCGACACCAGTATTTTTTGTACCATGATCTCTCTCCAAAATCCTGCGCCTCTCTGGGTGGATTATTGTTTATGTCATTTCAATCTATCAGAGCTTGACAGAACAAAATCGCTCGGCCAGAACGGCTAGTTCCGGCTTAGTGCAGCTTGTTGGCAGCCTGTGCCGCCTTGTTGGCGATCTGCTTCTCCTTGGGAATGGTGAGGGCATTGATGCCGAGGTAGTTGCAGATGCTGGTAACAACGAGCCACGCCCAGCGGAAATAGACAACCATGGAAAAGAGAAGATAGGCCCACAAGTAGAAGAGTTCGAATTGGGCGCTGACCTGAGGGAGTCCAAATCGAGGCATGTTTCCGAGGAACGCACCACCAACAAGAGGGTATAGCATAACGGTCCACCAGGGGAAAGGTTGGCGAGTCAAATGGGCGAGAATAATCTTAGTGGTCAAGCGGCCAAAGACGAATGACATGATGAAGCAGAAAAGCATGAGGTGGTTCTCCTTCATGATGGTACTGTAAGGAGAGAAGACCCAGGCGGCGATGGAAACAGTGAAGACGGCCATAGGAATCCACTCAAGGAAGACAGGAAGAATGGGCTCTCCCCTAGACTTGCGAGCCTTGGCAACGTTGAGCACACAGAAGGGGATCTGTGTAAAGACGAGGGAGCCAATGATCAGGCCAATCCAGATATCTCGGAAAGTCGTCTCGCCAAGGAGCTCAGCAAGACCAGGTAGAGTATCCTTGATGCCATTAGCCAGAGGAATGGTCCAGATGCCGGGTCCCCAAATGCCAGACATGATCATAATTGTACAGGCAATAAGGATGCCTTCTGTAGGACCGTTGATAACGCCGAGGAAGAGAGTATGCGTGTGGTATGTTTCCCAGGTCGAGAAAAACATGGGCAGGCATGGGCATAGAGCGGTGATGATGCCAGCTGGAGAGGTACCAAGACCCATAGCGGCAGTTTCGAGCAGACTGGCGAGTGTGCAGTTCAAGGAGTCGATACCGTGATCGAAGAGTTCGCCGAGGCCGCTTGAGGTTCCAGTTCGTCGAGCTTGCTTTCCGTCGAGGTTATCCATCGTTTGGTACATGAAGAGGCCAAAGGCAAAGCTGAAGTAAAGCCATGAAGGAGCCTGCAACATCACTTGCGATTAGTACGTCACTCCAGAGACATGGAAAGGCTCCCACATACCGGGCCAACGAGATCAGGCATCCAGATTGCACAGAAAGCAACATTTATCAGGATGAAGCAGAAACCCAAGAGGGTCACCATGTTGGGAGCAATCCATAGTGGTAGGAGGTTGACAGAGGCATTCCACTACATGACAACAAAGACGCGTTAGCTATCACGAGCTCCCAGAAAATAACTTGGCAGGCAAGTGGTGTCGAGCTCGACGAGACGGTAATTGTCAAGACAAAAAAGTAAAACAGAGTTTAAAAAAATGCGCAAAAGAGAGCTGAAGGCATAGGCAATACATACGAAAGGACCAAGAACGTATTTCGAGACTGGCGACAGGTCGACGCTTGAGTACTTGTATGACTTGAAGTGCACCAGTGCGTCATCAGAGATGCACTCGGCAACATTCTTTTCTGAAGGGCCGCAACGTTAGTGGTCAACGGTCTTTTTTGTAATACCCCATGGAACTCAGGCGTTCAAAGAGTTTCCTTTCCTTCTCAGACTTACTCGTATTAGGAGCCATATTCGTACCGTCAGGGTCGGTGGCCGTTGGATTGTAAAGCGGAAGTGTCTCGCTTGTAGACATGGTGGAAGAGAGGGGCCGGAGGAGGAGGGGCAAAAATGGGGGACTCTTTTAAAAAGGGAACGAAGGGGAAGGTAGAAAAAAATAAAGACGTCGGTAAAAACGCCTAAACAATCGGACCTGCAGCGACGGCGGGCACGCGCAATAGTGACTTGCAGCAGGACAGGGTAAGGTAGATCCGCCAAGAGGCCTGCAAAATGGATGATTGACCCTCGGCTCTCTTCCAAGGCGGTATTATCCTAACAGACGCGGGCGGCGCGGCACGTGGGCGGGAAGAGAAAGGTAATCCAAGAACAAGCGTGACAGGTTTTCTCTTATCGACAACGGTAGATGAATTGGATCTCAAGCCAAGGTTATGTGTGGCGGACCTGATTTGCGAAGACGACCGGGAGGGCTGAGACAGAGTTAAACAGCCAAGAATAGCGGTGAAGAGTCTGATAAAGAATTAAATATGCTGATGAACAGTTACCGCCAAAGAGTGTTTTTTTGCAGTTGAAGAAAAGAAGGGACTGGAAAGGTTTAAAGGGGCAGGTTTTGACAGCTCAAGGCTAGGACTCGAAATTGGAATTCAAACTCCAACTCGTACTGGTGTCGTCGTACGTCGAGCCCCTGGATCGTAAACCGCAAAGTCCCTGCTAACACCAGCGATCCGATCCACTAGAGGTCTCCGCTTACAGGGTAAACACGCATCTAAAATTGGGTAATTAGCGGCTCATTCATTTGAAGGCTCCAACCATCAACTTGACAGCTAACGAAACAGGTCGACTTTGACGGCCCCTTTCTTGTGAGACTCGAGAACAATAGCAGGTTCCTCGAGCATCCCCACGTAGTACTCTCACTTGCACAGTGACCTCAGCAGGCTCAGCCCTGTCAAAAGGTGTGCCAGCCATGTCTGCTCACGAGGAGGAGCTCGCATAGACAGCTCATCATGAGATTGTTTCGACATTATTTGATCCGTCTTAACCGTTGGTGCCGAGGCGAGGGATGAACTAACGCTATGGATCAATGGCGCATGAATAGAATGATTTTCACATGCCCTTCTAGGCTCGTGAGCGCGTGAGCACCGACAAAAAGAATACGAGCCTCTCATTCAAATGCAATTGGCTGGAATGGATGCTAGTTGGAGAACAAAACTTACATCGCGGCAGTTTTGTTGATCCGATAGCCCGGCACACGTCTAAGGGTCTTGAAATCCGGAATGTGGAGTGAAGATCAACTGACGCTGAATGTGACCTCCTCCAACTCTGGGAATCCTTGAACCGACAACGACATGTCTCGATAGGCCACTGCTTGTTTCATGCATCAGGATATCACACTGGCTTCAGATTTGTTGTGAAAGGTTCCTGGTGGTTCAACTGCTTGATTGCAGTCAACGACATGTATTTCGTCCTGTTCTACCACCTATTCCCATCTCTTCGTCCCTTCGACATTAACGATATTAATGATGTAAAAGGGCAACCCCTCAAGTTGAATCATAAAAAGAATATCCCACCATAAAAGACAACCAAACACCTAGACGTCCAAGGCTTCAAAGGAATGTAGGAGCAATAAACACAAGAGAACAGAAGCAATGCAGTAATCTCTTTGGCAGCCCGGTCGCCAAACTCAGGAAACCATCAAGCATCACCAGAAACTCAGAACATGGCGAATCCAGCGAAAATGGTGCTCAGGACAATAGTCAGGCCCCATGTGCGCCCAGCCTCAATGACGGCGGCGCCGTTGGTCTTTGTTGTTGTTGAGCTGTCTGAGTCGTCGCCTCCTGGGGTGCCAGTGTAGACAACATTGGGATCGTCAGTAGCGCTGGCTGTCGCTTTGACGGCAGCCGTGTCGGTAGCTGTGGAAGTCGTGTTGTACTTCTTGGGGTTGCTGGCACCGCATGGGTGGTTCTGGCGGCAGTCAGAAGCGCAAGAGGCACTGCCCTTGCAGTCCTCGACACATTGGTTACCCCATTCCTGGCATACGTAGAATGGTAGGGTCAGGGAGTATTCAGACACGTTGGGTTGCTTGCCGTCGCCGCAGATGCAACCGTATGTAAGCGTTTTCTGGACGAAAGAGATTAACAGTTGTCAACGAAGCCTAGATAACGAAACTTACAGGATCACACTCGTTGACCTTGGTATCTCCCTTGCTAGTCTGCCCGCAAATCATAGGGCAGGTTTCTATTTCGTTCTGGCACCAAACACCTGGTTATGTATTAGACCCTGCACCTCCGAATAATCGGCGTTAGATCTTTACTCACGGCGTTGAGACAGGGGTACACTCTCGGGGTCAATAACATAGTCGGCGTTGACAACGGCAATGGCTGAGGCAGCAACGGCCAAAACGGTTGTTCGGAGAGAAGGCATTATTGTGACGTATTTGTGTCTTGTATGAAAACTAGCTGTGTTGGATACGATGAAGGTATGTATGTGGTTGATACGTATGCGAAGTCCAAAAAAAGTTCGTAAACTGTGAAGATTGACGAAAGGTATGGAGTTTCTTTGGCCGGGGGTCAGCGGTTTTATTCACTTATATTCCAAGTCTCTCTCTTTCCCATAATGAGGAGATTGCTTGTGCTCTGCGGGAAGGAGAGGTATGGAGGATGCTATCACTAAGACAACCGGGGGCAAGACCCGTAGACTCGGACGATGTTTGACTTACAGATTAAGAACAAGGTATGTGAGTGACGACCGACGATTTGATAAAAGTACGAGCAAAAGAAGAAATAAAGGATTAAGATGACGAGTTAACGACTGTTGAGAATCAAGACCAAGTCTGATATAGCGAGTGTATCAAAAGCAGGTGGTGAGAGAAGAGGACGATGAAGAAAAGGTCGAGGAGGTCCGAGACATTTCAATGACAGACAACCCCCGGCTATATGGGTATGGATGCATGGATGGATACCTCTCTGCCTTAGGTCCAGATACCTACCGCCGGGCTACAGCGTCAAAAGAAATGATCCGTAGTAAAAGCTGAGGCGAGACCCGAGCCTGGGCGACATCATGACAACAGACGGTGGACAAAGTAGTACCAGTAGCACCAATTTTCGCAGAGTGAACAGGGGACTTTAGGAGCAGCACAGCGGCATTGGGCTTAGCTCTAACATATCCCAGCAGCAATGAGACTTTATTTGCTCCATATCGTCCACCACTCGGCGCATTTTGTGCCAGGAGGTCCCGGAATACTCTGGAGGCTAGGCCCGATAGACTCAACTAGTGCGGTTCGCCGCTTAAGCTTGGGCTTTTTAGGGCGGTCTGGGGAGGCTTTGGCTCGCTTGGTGTTGGTGCACCATGACCGTAATCTCCAAGGCCCTTGGTTTTAAGAGCCGTGATTAAAAGGAGTCAATAGTATTATCGATAATGTTCTTGTTACAGCAGCCCGGTCTGTGATCTTCAGAAGATCCTAATGGAGATCTCTTCAGTTGACTCGACGCTACCGTACTCTCGTCAGATGTCGGTGATGCCCCATACTCGCCATCATGGGCATACGAGTGGAGGTCGTCCTTCGTCTCCTCTCAACCGCATCGTCCAGAGCTTGGCTTTGTGGCGGGCGCGAACGGTTGACTACTACAGACTCCACATCTAGTAGTCGTGAAGCGATATGAGACCACTGCTGCACATTTGTTATGATGGTCTTGTCATTGTGCATCACTGAGTGTATCTTGGACCACGCGAACGACGCGCTCCAGTTGGTGGTTGAGGTCGCTCACAACATGTACGAGCCCACTATGATCACGTCGGAGTATTCTTTACGGACGATTGGCCACTCGGATGCAAGAATGGTGGCCAACTGTTCCCATAAAGGGTAACTCTGTTCGGTGCTAGGCATCTGGACCAGCCAACAACCTTCGTATTTCTTACATATGGGCGGGGCATGTCACTGCACTGGACCCTTCGATAACCCCGCGCAATGCACCACGACGAGAACATGATGCTATGGATATCGCGCCAATCGTTGGTGTTGATGATATCTTGTTTGTGCCTCACTATGGAGCTTACGCGGCCAGATGTTCAGGCTCTCAGAGAAGTGATCACAGTCGCACATTTTATGAGGTATCACACAGCAAAGTCGAATAACCACTACTTCTAGTAACCCAATAACGCAGGTGAAGAAACACTCTGCTGGCTAAAGACATTTGAAAGCGGAGTGCATTTGGAGATATGACGGACTAGCCGAAGAGATATCCGCTTGTCTCTCGTACAAGATAGTAAGGTAACTTCGTATCGAATCGTGTTCGTTCCATGCAGGCATTAATCGAGGTGAGGGCACTTACAGAGAACACGAAGACTTGGTTCATGACAGGTCATAAAAAGATAACCAAACCTGAAAGAGACCAGCCTCGACTTCAGAAGAATCCTCGAGAGGAATTCGTTTCATGTGGAGAGTAGATTCTCACCCCGCAGAGTCAGGATAATTTATCCCGTTTCAAAGTGAACCTGCAAGAACTCGAGAGAAACTTTGGCCATCGATCTTGGTTTCTTCCTACAATTTCGATCACTCCTTTGATTCCAACCTCCTCTATTTTGCTCCTTGGCTCCGATTAGAGTTACAGTTTGAACTGGACCAGATGACAATGTCATATGATATGATGAGAGTTCTGCGGCTTGAAACAAAGTAGCCAGAATTCTCTGTACTTGTATCCCTTGATAGAAAGCCACAGTCGATGAGATCTCGCGCTTGTCAATCCGGGTTCCGCTACGTCCCGAAAGCTTAGACGACCGGTACCCAACCGGCCTCTTCAGCCGGGCACGGAGCGGACGTGGCTTTCGAGCTCCGTATTTCAAGATGAAGGCCGGCCGTAAATGCGGCGGTCATATTGTACCCTTGCAAGTGTGGTATTTTGGTCGATATCCAAGTCAGTGGGCATTGAGTTTACCTAAGAAAACCTTATCGTACTACACACAGCAGGAGATTGGTTTACTGTAAGTAATTAACTTACGCATTTGAACGATAAATCAACTCTCCTCCTATGTTGCGATATCTCGCGAAGGCTGTAGAAATAAAGACTATGAATGGCCAAATCCGGAGTAGATTCACACAAATAAGAAGCCAGAGGTCACAAAGTTTACCGGTGCGTTCTGGGTTGTCCCGACTCCCATGGACCGGGGCGCCGGCCCCTCCATCAATCGGAAAAAATCAAGCTGCAAGGCCCGGAACGGTGCCGATTAAGGCTTTGCTCTACGACATCACATCCAATTCATCCTTTCAATTGGGACAAGCTATCGCCACTACCCAGACGCACACTATACTATGTCCCTGGTTGGATCGTGCCCTCTACTCGCGCCTTGATTTCATCATCAACCTCATCCTGACGACTTGTACATAATTGACTATTTCTCTACCGCTCCGCAACCCAAATCCTTGCGCTTTGTCAACTAAAAAGCAGGGTCGCTATTCATGGGCTGTTATCCTAACTCGCTGATACGATTTCAACTGTTAATCAACATCAACATTACTCGACTGGATCGATTGAATCATTGCTACAAGTCTTTGCGATACGATTTTACCATTGAATCACATACAATCCAGTACTATTAAAGCTGTTGTATCGGAAGTTTCTTCATTAGCGACTTGAACGATTCAAGCCCGAGATTTTGTTTCATCGCATGGTTGAATGGCGACTGCGATAGATCAAGCGCCTGGCGATGGCAATCTGGCCGCCGGCGCATCGCATCCAGGCAGTTCTGAGACACAGACCGCAGCTACCGAAGTGTTTGAGACACCACGCACATCCTTCGATCATGACCCCAACGATAGCAATCATGCGCGGCACGAAACTGCATCATCTACCGTCTCCCCGAGTTCGATAACATCGCCACCATACTGGCTGAACACCCGTGCCGGCCATCAACGAACCATATCGAACATGTCGACCGAGTCCGTTCTTCCTGCTGGTGCTATAACCCTGCGTGACAACGAAGCGAGCGAGTTCGACGACCGCAACAGCGCTTGCTGGGCCAAGAGTGTTGAGGTTGTCAGCTATACCATTGTCAACGGCAGTGCAACAAATATCGGTGCCTTTGTGGTGTGGAATATCCGTGTCGAGGCTCTCAATGTAGGTGATTGGTGGTGGTTCAGCAGTGGCGTACTGATCTGAAGATGGCTGTTGACTGACCCAACGATAGGGGAGTTATATGAATATTCGTAAACGGTATTCGGAGTTTGACGACTTTCGATATCGGTTGGTTCAGACTTTCCCCGGATTCGAGGCAGCTGTTCCGGCGCTTCCGCCCAAGAGTGTCATCTCCAAGTTTCGGCCCCGATTTCTCGAGAAAAGGCGGGCAGGCCTACAATACTTTCTCAAGTGCGTATATCAGGAGTTTTCAGCTCAATATTATGCTGACCTTATTAGTTGCATATTGTTAAATCCAGAATTTTCTGGATCGCCAGTCCTCAAGGAGTTCCTCTTTGCATAGCGTTCTTATCGTCTTAGCATCTTCTCTTCTTTGGATATGTTTACCTTTGGGTCTCATTCATGGGAGGCCTCTTTGTACAAACGATATATATTGCTTGGCCCAGTCTCACGCACATATGCAGCAGCCAACAATCCGTATTAATGATAATGAGTTGGATGATCTACCACTTGTGGTCCTACAGTTGTATTGCATGCTCGTCTGTTCTTAGCTTGTGCTTGATTCGAGAGCCAAGATGAAACCAAGGTTTGGCATTGTTGTACGACACAGTCAAGCATATCTCGAAAGCCATACCATTTGCTTCGCCTCAGTGGCATGTCATCACTGGGCGTTTAAGCTCTCGTATCCAAAGGGCTGAGTATAGGCGCCAGGGCGCAGCAAGAGAAATCCGGTCGCTAACAACAGGCGCGCGATACTAACAGTTAAGCTGTTGACTTTGAATGAAGCTTAACATAACCATGTGGAGTTCGGTATGGCTTAGAGGATATGCTGTTACGCATCAGCCAATGAGTGAGTTTCCTGTCGGATTTCCGTGCCGCTATTCTGACGCTTTGCCAGCCATGAGTCTAGATTATTTCGGTATGTAACGGCATTTACCAAGCATTGCGGCGTCTCAATAAAGCAATCTATTGAGATTTTACGGCGATGCCAATGTTCTTTGCAGGATTGCCAAGTGCCGTTCTTCCGTGACAAGAATGACAAGAACCTGCTGGTTTCTGGGCATCGGCCTGACTACATCAGTAGTAAAGACCATGTTTATAAGAGCCGCAAGATCCAGCTCTGAACTAAAGAGATTCGAAGTGTCATGAGTTCATCAGCCTTCGTCTTTTCTTGTTTCTCGATGTGATTAACAGTCTTTTCCAAGGATTTCATCGCCATTATCACCAACTTTTGCTCCCACCCCCACATTCTCAACCCAGTTCAACCCCACGACCATGACGCAACTCGAGATTCTAGAACACCGTTGTTTGTTACCGGTTTTAGTGCAGACCCCAAACGATATCAGTATGGAACTGGAGGGGACCCCGCGACAATCGCCGTTGGGTTTAGCAGCACAACTACCAACCCGTACCGACTCCAAATTCTCAGTCGTCAGCACTGCGTCATCTTCTGCAGCTACCACTAACGGCGACTTACCCTTTACCACTAAGACAAAAGAATACATGGACTCTCTGCGACCACCTTCACCAAAGCAATTCGAACGAATTGCAATTGTTCAACAACAACGCGAACAAGAAACAAAGCGCAGAGATCGCGAGCGCAGGCGCTGGTCGCGCGAAGTCCAGCGTCAGCGCAATAGAGCTGCCAGTATGTCGACAGTCAGTCAGGACGACCAGGCGCAGGCGCAAGCTGCGCGCACTATCCAGAAAACCTTTAGAGGGTATCGCGCAAGAAGAGAGATGCAAGGGTTTGGTTTGGATGCAAGTACAAGATGGGTCACTGCAATTCGAGAAGCTCAATTTCGACATGCGACATTGCCACGACCGAAAACAGAAGCTGATAATGAAGCTTTTGATAATTCAAAAGCGGACGGTTTTGCGAAACACAAGTCGGCGAGTGCACGAGAGAAATGGAAGAAGGCGAGCGCCGTTGCGCGACGAGCAGGTCATGATGACCTCTTGTCAGATTCTGAATCTTCAGAATCGTCTTCCGACGAAGATGCCTCCCCCGAAGAACGAGTTGCTGCACGAGCACGACGTGAGAAAGCTACTGCTGCGCGGAAACATGAGGCGCGCATGATGGGCATTCGATACTTCCTCGAGATGGTCGACCAGAAACACCGTTACGGAAGTAATCTTTGCCGTTACCACGAGGTTTGGAAGCGAACAGACACAAATGAGAACTTTTTCTACTGGCTCGACTATGGTGAAGGCCGCAACGTTGAGGTTGATGGCTGTCCACGCGATCGACTTGAGCGGGAGCAAGTTCGATACCTGTCTCGTGAAGAGCGCCAGTACTATCTTGTTGAAGTCGATAGTGAAGGCAGACTCTGTTGGGCGAAGAATGGCCAGCGCATTGATACCACAGAAGAGTTCAAGGACAGCATACATGGTGTCGTGCCTGTGAACGATTCCACGCCGGCATTCAACGCCGCAGCCCAGCCCGAAGATGCACGATCCCTCGAATCTGTCAGCAGTTCCAGCTCCGATTCTTCCCTAGAGTCACGACGGGAGGCAGACCGGGCAGCCAAGTATGCGACCCCTGACTTTGACAACAGTCAGGGCATGAACAAAGTGTCCCAGATTTCAGCGTCCACGATCTTTAACAAGTTGATGCGCAAATCTGTCCGGAAGAATACATGGATCTTCGTTGCAGACACAAGCTTTCGCATGTATGTGGGCATCAAGGATTCAGGAGCATTTCAACACTCGTCCTTCCTCCAGGGTAGCCGGATATCAGCAGCTGGTCTCATCAAGATCAAGAATGGTCGACTATCGTCTCTCTCACCACTGAGCGGACACTACCGCCCTCCCGCAGCGAATTTCCGTGCTTTCGTTGCAAGCTTGCGGCAGTCGGAGGTTGACATGAGCCATGTCTCTATCTCCAAGTCGTATGTTGTGTTGATAGGACTGGAGGCATATATCAAGACGAAGCGCAAGGGCAAGGACTTTGCTCAGCGTGTGGGACACAGGAAAGATAAGATAATAGCCCCAGAGGAGGCGGCGCGCAGGGAAGAGGAAGCCAAGGACAAGAGTGAGAGTGCCGCGAAGGAGAGAGAGGTGCTACAACGAGAAGAGGCAGAGAAGCAAGAGGGAAGACCAGTAAAGAAGGCCTTAAAGAAGCTTGGCATTAAACCAACAAAGGAGGAGAAACAGGCAGCCAAGAGGGAGAAGAAGGAGGATGTCGAGAAGATGCACGTATAGTAAGACTCTTGGTGTTTGGCGAGGTGTTTTGGTTTTACGATATTATACCCTTTATGTATAGAGCGGTCCCCGGATTATGGTTCACGACATCAAGTACGAATACCCAAGATCATGAGTATTTTCTTTGTGCAGCTGCCAGTTCTGGCTATCAAATGATATTGCTGTGAAGCTCATCTAAGCTGTGTAAAAACCCTAGCCCAGTTATCCCATAGCCTGAATAGAGCTTCACGACTTAACCTACAATTCCCAATAAGCGAAGGTATCAGAGCATGAATAAGCACAGAAAGGCCGGTCATGCATACCTAAGGTAGGTACTCAAAGGGAGGCAAGAAAAATGAGGTCCTTTCCCCTAAGTGATAAAAATAACTGATTTGAAGGCCTTCTTAGTATATATTAGACTGAAGTCCGAGGATAGAGGTCCAAGGTTTGCTTGCCTTTTAAGGTTACTCCTTGCACAATATGTCATCCTATCACCCATACATGCCATCTACAATACCCTAAAGCCATGATGTACTCGAGAGGTCTCACTATACGAAAGCAGAAATTAATTCAGTCGCAACCTAAGCGAGCACTTGAAGCTTTTCAGTAGAACACGAAGCTTTTTGGTTAAAGTATTTAAGTTGTTGAAAATTTTCTTCATAAACTCACACTCTTCTGTTGCCTTATGTTTGTGGTCGAGACGCAATGATATCATTCCAGAGGAAATGGTAAATCATGTCCTTTGACTCTGTTCTAGTAGTCCATCACATTAGCTAGAAACCCGGAGCCATTGGAATTTATCGCATTGAGCAAGGCGCTGGCTTGTTGATTGATAAACAATAAACTATAGAAGCTAGAGAGACAGTTTTTCGAGGTGCGCATGACCAAATCATTTGCCCAGATGGCTCCAGCGCGTCAACGCCCTGTAGTTTTGCATTTGTCAGTACGATATAGGGGGTACAGTGGCGCACCTGCCCTGAAATTGCAAGAAAACTGGCGCTCAAAATCTTGGCTTGGTGCAAGACGGAGCCAAGCTTCCACTGACTGCAAACGTGCAGTACAGACCGGTCGCACTCACACCGAAGCCGCGTTTGAAAAAACCCATCAACATCGACGACGCCATCTTCAAACTGAGCTGGCGGACTGAGAGAAATACATCCTTGAAACCATGCCAGGCATTTTGTCGTCTTCCAATGGCTTCCGTCACCCGTTCCTCGCGGCGCGCTGAAGCTCCGCACCAGCATCACCCGCATCACCACCTGACGCCCCCAGCAGGAGTATTCGCACATGCCCAGGGCGGAGGAGGAGGAGGAGGGCGCAACAAGAGGGCACTCGACACCCACGATCGCGATTTCGATGCGATCAAACCGAAAAGAACGCGATTAACAGTCGAGATCTTCGCAAAGGGCACTCACGGACTCCGTGATTCCGATATCGACAACAACAAAGCGCCACCACCCACGCGCAGACCTGCTGCGACGCCTACAGTGGCGAGTGCGACACCAATACCCCCTCCTCCTACGACCGACAGCGCGACATCGAAGCCGAAGCAGGAGCAGACTCTTACAAAACACCAGAGCAAAGTTATCAATGGAATCAAACATGAACTCGATCGGTTGCAGCCTCAGCAGAGCGATACTAATACCCAGGAGCAAGGCCGCAAGCTGCGCTCTCAGGAAGCTACAAGGTTCAAAAGTGAACTTTCTGCCTATTTTCCTGAATACGATGAGGTGATTGGGAATGAGCCCAAGGAGCAGCGTACGTCCAAAAAATTCCCCATCGTTCACCTGAATGTTGCCTGCAAAATACAACATTTTCTGACTCTATATAGAATTATTCAATGTCGACACGCCGATCGTAATCGTTGATTCCGATCCACGACGCGCCGTTTCAGAAGACAAACGCGCGATCCCACAAACTCACCACTCCGCAATTGAATATCCTGTACGCGGGTACGGCGATGCCCTCTTCTACAGTGTATTCGATTGTCAGCAAGTCGATCTAGGGTTTCTAGAATCGCAGTCGAAGAACAAGACCATCGAAGATCCTTTACCAGATAAACTATTTCAGCCAATACATCGTCGAGCTGAGCGGCTGGAGAGATCAATACGTAATACTGAGAAAGGCAGAGCACAGCACGAAAGGGACCAAATTATCCGACTTCTCGAAGGACTCCAAGGTCATGACTGGTTAAGAGTCATGGGCGTGAGTGGTGTGACAGAGACGAAGAAGAAGACATTTGAACCTGCTCGTAACCATTTCATCAAAGGATGCCAGGCTATCCTTGACAAGTTTCGAAATTGGGTGTTGGAAGAGAAGAGACGGAAGATGGAGAAAGATAAGGCCCGGGCTGAGAAGGAAGAAGAAGAAAACTCATCAAGTGTTGAAGAAGACGAAGCTGGCGATGATAGCGAAAATGGTGATGCAAGTGACTCAGAATCACCAGCAAAGCAACTGCAAGAGGAAGCCATGGCAAGATCCAAGAATGCCAAAGGTTCAAAGAACCGAAAATCGACTCCTCAACCAGCTGTAGCCAAAATTCCGCGTCCTGCAAAAGCAGCACCGGCTCCGAAGCCGCCAGAACCACCTAAGGAGTTCAAGTCGTTCTTCAGCAAGAGATATGAGCGTGAGAGCGCTCTGCATCGACACAGGCGCACAGGGAGGAAGATTATGGCATGGGGTCTACCCATCCCTGAGATACCCGAGGTTGATTTTGATTTGCCGGAGGAATACCGTGATGAAGATACCCTCAAGGCTCGCGCGAGGAAGCAGCGCCGTGAACGAAGACGCATCAAGCAGTGAGTGGTTCTTGTTTGGCTGTTTGTAATATCATTGCAGGCGAAGAGGATTTGCAGGCCGGCTGTACTAAATGGGTTGGCGTTTCGGGAGGGATCTGAGACGCCCTGTTAAGGGCGATGGTATCACAGTTGTCTGATTGGGATTGTGCGTATAATTCGAGAATCATCATGGGATGCTGTATTAGAATTGTGTCCTGCTGTAAATCAAATTGGGCTGCGAAGCCAATGACATGTGACGCCTGTTTGTTGCTCAACAAGTTCCAACTTACCTGTTAAGGATGAGAGGGCATAAACAGACGTTCAGTAATAAATACCTGATAAATGATAGAGAAATGTCCAATGCTAACATGTCTTTTTTTTCTCCCTCTTTCTTTTCTTTTCTTTTCTTTTCAGCGAGAGAGTGCGGCGGATGAGCTGAGTTACGCTTCTCGGGGTTTCTTGGTAGTGGAGCGCTCGAGATTTATCATCTTCATTCTTCTGTTTGTTCTTTGTTAATAGAATGACAGAGATGTGAGTTTGCTGCCCACCCAATCCGCCCATTGCGCAAGACAAGTACGTACCGCGCAGTGAGCCTCATGAAATGGATGGAGTGAAGCGGTCCGTGCACGCCAGCTTCCTGACGCGCCGCGAGCTGTCTTCCTTCTTTTGCAAAGTTCACGACGAGAAGTTAATATACGGTCATTTTCCGGGTTTGCGCGAATTGCGCTTTTGCAGCATTTGTATTTAACAACAAGGCCATTTCTTTACTAATTCATTGGCCAAACTCTTCTAATAGCCACGTTACCCCTTCCGCTCCTCACTTCACGCTGAACCAACTCCGCAAACCCCGTTCAGATTGCGCCGACACCTCGAAAGAAGCACAAGACTGCGCAACGAGAATAATAGGAATTACAAATAAACCTAGCGACTCCGAAGGCTTCTTTGCGCTGCGCATCAGGCTGAAACTTCTATCGATGCAGAGTCTGTGAACACCAGCTCGCAGGGGCCCTCAGGCCTTCGTTCCTTTACCCTGCCTACCACCACTCAACATGACTACACTCGCCATGCCACAGGAGCCTGCGCCTGTGAATCACTCTCTACTCGATATAGACGACGAAGCGGCCTCTACAGAAGATGGATCAGTGCTCGAGTTCTTCATCATCAAGCAAGAAGTCAATCTCGAGGTCAATTTTCGCGATAAGCGCATTGACGGAACGACCGATATTTTTCTTGTCGTATTCAGCGATAAGATCGAGGACATAGTCTTGGACGCTGCAGATTGCGACATCGATACCGAGAACATTTTCATCGCTGATATTAAGGAGTCAAACGGTGATCTCGTTGAGAGTCATAGACGGAGAACGACAGCGACCTACAATGATCCATACGCCAAGCTCACTCACCCAAAGAGTTGGAGTTTGAGAGCCGACCACCACGATATTCGCCGCAAGCGTGCCCAGTCGATATTCCGCAGCCGCAAGAACGATGTCCCCGCCGAGAATAGAGAGTTCGAGGGGTGCACACCGGTCTATCGATCGCTGAAGGTGAACCTGCGCGGTAAGGCCGAGCCGGATCGCCCGAGGCTCATCATCAGGAAGTCTATGATAGGTCTTGATGCGAACGAGAGATCCAACAAGCAGTACAGAATCACCATACCATTTACCAATAGAAACCCCCGAGATGGGATACAGTTTGTTGGCGTCGATCCCCTGGACAACCGGTTCACGCACATGTACACACGAAGTTCGATACATCCTGGGACTGCTTCGTGTATTTTTCCTTGTATAGATGACCACGGATCACGTTGCGACTGGAGGATATCAATCAAGTACCCCCGTACCTTGGGTGATGCTTTGCAACAAGCGCTTGCTACACAACAGAACGGTAGTAACCCCGACAAGATGCAGATTGATGGCCAGGAGCGTATCCATAACCTTGCCGAGGAAGATAAACTCCGCGAGATGTCGGTTGTCTGCTCAGGTTTCCTTATGGAAGAGACCGTAGATCCCGAAGATGATCACAAAAAGATAATGACCTTCGAGCCTGAAAAGAAGGTGTCTGTACAGAAGCTTGGTTTTGCAGTGGGCCCATTTGAGCATATTGATCTTTCATCTGAGTTTAGAACAGAAGAAGACGAGGTCAAACTGGGTATGAATGCGCTCAAGGTTCACGCATACTGCCTACCACACCGTGCCGACTGGGTAAGGAATACAGCAGCAGCCATCACTATGGCAGCTGATTTCTTTACATTCACGTTTGCTCGATATCCGTTCGGCAATTTCAAGCTCTGCTTCCTTGATGATATGATTCAGGACACTGTGGCTCTCTATTCCATGGCTTTCGTCAGTAATCGATTACTTTTCCCAGATGACATTATCGATACCGAGATCGATGTCACAAGAAAGATCGTTCAAACATTGGCGTACCAGTGGATAGGGATCAACATGATACCGAACACAAGAAATGACCTATGGCTTATCGTTGGCATCGCGCATTTCATGACAGATCTCTTCATGAAGAAAATTTGCGGAAACAACGAGTACAGATTTCGGATGAAGACACTATCCGACAAGCTTGTTCAGATGGACGTCGAACGGCCATCTCTTTACGATCTCGGCCCTTACCTGCATTTGGGAGAGTTCGAGATGGACTTTATGACTCTGAAAGCTCCCGTGGTTTTCTTCATCCTGGACAAGCGACTCATTAAGGCTTCAGGAGGACACGGATTGACACGCATTCTCTCTAAACTGTTGACAAAGGTTCAGATTGAATCTTCTGACAGGGCTACTATCCTTGAAACAGAGAAATTCCGAACAACTTGTGAGAAGGGGGCAAAGTATCGGCTTGAGAGCTTCTGGAGCCAGTGGGTTTACGGTTCAGGATGCCCGCGATTTGATGTCAAGGCGAAATTCAACAAGAAGAGGCTCTGTGTTGAGCTTACGCTAAACCAGATTCAATTCCAGACAGCTAAGAAGCCGCCGCTAGACAAGAATGATTTCCTACGCGTCGTCAAGGAGCGCCGCTCTGGTGTTAAGCCAGGCGAAGTACAGCCTCTGTTTACAGGACCGATGACGGTACGAATCCATGAAGCCGATGGAACGCCTTACGAGCATATTCTGGAAATTCGCGAAGATGCCACAAGGTCTACCAAATTCGAGATTCCATACAATACGAAGTACAAGCGGCTCAAGCGCACGCGTCGCATGAAGGAAAAGCAAAACGTTGGTGCCAGTATGGATGCGGAGAACTTGGATGATGCGCTCCTCTACTGCTTGGGCGACGTTCTGCAGACGCCAGACGAACAGGCACAATGGGAGTTGATTGATTGGGACCCCGAAACTGAACGAAAGATGGACCAAGAGTCGTACGAATGGATACGTGTAGATGCCGACTTTGAATGGTCTTGCGATATGAAGCGGACTCTTGAGCCGTACATGTACGTGTCACAATTGCAACAAGATAGAGATGTCGTTGCTCAGCAGGATGCTATGCTTTACCTGACCCATGGCCCTTTGCACCCCATCGCGTCAGGTTTTCTTACCAGGACGCTTGTGGACCGCCGCTACTTTCATGGTATCCGAACCATGGCTGCTGAAGCTCTACCACGACAGGCCAACATCAAGGATCTATCAATGCTTGGCCTTCGACAACTGATGAAGGCTTTCAGCGAAATGTTCTGCCACAAAGGTACGAACCAACCAAAGCCGAATGACTTTTCCGACAAGAAGCAATACAACGTTCAGTGTGCTATTATCAAAGCCATCGCTCAAGTGAGAGATGCTCACACTTACAAATGTCCGCTTGACGCTCGCCAGTTCATTCTGGACCAACTTCTCTTCAACAACAATGAGGACAACCCATATTCTGACCACTTTTACATCGCTACCCTTGTGGAGGCTCTTGCTACGTCTCTCATCCCTTCCAAGCAAGATGATTGGTTTGCGATGCAGAACAAAATTCCTAATGAGGACGAGAAGCAGTTCCTCGAAAGGGCTATAGAGCAAATCGAGAGAGTTTTACGGCGAGATGAATGGACCCATTCATACCAGAACGTTTGGACTATTGCTGGTCTAAGTGCCAAACAACGATTGATGAAGGCGGAAGTAATCCCAAAGAAGTACAGTGATTTCGGGCAATATCTGTTGGACGGAACCAGAGATCTTATTCGGATCAAGGCCTTCGAGGCTCTGATTGACCTGGGGGCTATGTTGGATCCGACAGTGTTCTCATTCTTAACATACTCGCTTATTACCGACCGGTCACCGTACGTGCGAAACAAACTCATTGAGGCCGCTGCCTCCGGACTCGCAGCCATCGCTTTCGGAGAGCATGCTAAGGTTGTTAAGAACGACCCTCGGCCAGAAGATGAGGGAGATCTTCTGCTTGTGCAGGACAGTGCTCAGGAGATCGAGGCAAGAAAAGAGATGTTTGCGAGAAAAGAGAACCTGGATGCAGCGCTCAAGGCTTTACGAAGAGAGATGGATGAAACCTACGGAGGCGACGAACGACACTATAGCATCGCGATGCGTAAGGCGTTGGATCATCCGAGTCTCGGCCGTGGTGAGATGGAAAGCATGCTAGATTTGGCGGCGATGATGTTTGAGGAGGCTGGCGATTGGGTTATTACGCTCCCCTTACCAAAGGCTTGGAAGGTCGAGAGGCCTGTGCAGCAGCTCTCTAATCGCGTAAGTGCTACATTGTTTACAAGCAAGTCTGTGCTGGTGCTAACTTGGACAGTTGATCATGAAATTCAAAGCTCATTACAGGACGACACCCCGAGAGCCAATCGTACAAGCACCACCTCTTCCACCTCCTGCTCCGCCTGCCCCTATCATTGAGCAGAAGCGACCTGCACCTTTGCAGAAAACATCTTCTATCAAGATCAACACCCACAAGACAGCCTCTGTCCAACGCCCAAGCGCTCCTCCACCTCAGCGACCCAGCGCCAGTGCCTCTCCGGTTGTTCAAAGTCCAAAGCCCACTCTACCAAAGCAAGAAAGAGATACCATTGTTGCATCACCAGGTCTGTCTCGACAAGCAAGTGCTACGTCTTCATCGGGATCCAAACCATCTTGGCCCCCTGAACCCTCATCTGCTTCTAGTATCAAGCGCCCTCGACCTGAGAAGGATGAACAGCATACCCCAGCACCAAAACGCGCAAAGGTTGATAAGCCATTTGATTCGGGTATCCCCAAGAAGAAGAAGAGCAAAATCATCACCTTGAGGGTTGCCCCAAACCGTCTTGCTCCTTTGTTGAGGAAAGAAAAGAAACCAAACGGTAATGGCCGAGTATCTCTCCCCTCAGGGGCGCCAAGAGACGGCTCTGCCCCTTCTCTGAGCTCAAGATCAGATTCCATCACGGCCAAACCCGCCAGAAAACCTCTTCCTGGAGACGCGGCGCGAAGACCGTTGCCTGGAGGCCCGGCGTCATCGCCGCATCCTGCACCGGAGAGAAAGGTCTCGCTAAATACTCATTCGAACCCTACACCGAAGCCTAAGTCTGCAAGTCCTGCCACGAGCACACCCCCTCCTGCAGCAGCGCCTACTCAGCGGCCCAAGATCAAGCTTATTCGAAAGCCTCAACCACCACCAGCCCCCTAAAAATTGAAGCCGAAAGGGACATCATCTCGCTGACTGATGCTAAAGCAGCCCACTGATTGCAGCAAGTTCGGCTCAGTCATGGAGTAGTTTGCAGTCCGCCTACTGGCAAATAATATGCTGCCACCAAACTTACTATCATTTTGGCCTCTTACTCGTCCCTCTGGGGACCTGGCAAGTAAGTGTGGCTAGTGACGAGGAGCCATTAAACAACGTCAATGTCGATAGGAGCATAAGAATGTGATGTGGATTGAACGCAAGATGCAACACGCGGGGAATGAGGAAAAGAATTTTTACCATTACGTTCGAACGAGAAGTTGCAGGAATTTATGGAAGCTGGTTTGTGGTGTTTCACGCATTTGGTATAGGGGCAGAGGTCACTGAAAAACTGCATTTTCTGGCGTTGGGAGCGCAACATAGTATGCGAAAGCCCTGATGAGTGAGAGGGATGCAATGAGACGTAATGAGTATGTAGGCAGATTTGGGGACCATTCATCAAGATATCCCGTCAATGATAGTCACCCCCGTGATGTTCTGACTACTTCATGCATGTCGAATACCACCCAAGGTATTAGTGAAGAGCACTTGATGAAGGCATCCTGGTTTCAGATTCAAATAGGGTAGTAAGCAATGTATCTTCATTTCGTCTTAAGCAAGAGGTACGCCGCGCCCCTTCCACTATGAGTAAACACCTGCCCAACTCTCGACTTATTTACCCACATCAAGTGCGTCAAACCACTGGAAGAGATCCTATCCCTCCAGGTGGCTACCGCCTTCTTTTGCTTGGGCCTCGAGAAAAGCCTTTCTTAAGTTAAACCTCTGAAAGCCATGTTTATTGACAAGCCGGTTGTGAGCTTTCTGAGCGCGCTCCTGTTGAAGTTCTTCGCCATCGTCAGCTGGAGAACGGTGAAAGTCCACACTTGTAGCAAAGTCCAAGTCCGCATCGTCACGGTCTGTCCAGATACCCTCGTGGTGAGAAGGCACATCGCGTCCTTCACTAAGATGCTTCATGACTAGAAGGGCCGATTTTCCAGGTGTAAGGGTGGTACGTTTGAGGGCTTCCACGACAAATTGGCGGGGGTAGCCCATTGATTCATAGCGAGCTATCCATTTCTGAATTTCTCGAGAATTAGACTTCTCTGGGTTCTGAGGCTGGTTTGTCCTGGGAATAGCTCGGGAAGAGTCGAAGGAGGCCGGAAGAGACCGTCGAACTGTTCGGGTGCTTGGTTTTGGGTTCGGTTTCGCAGAGGAAACAGCTCGTCTGGGAGCGATTTGTTCTGTAAAGCTGCTGTCATGACGTCGTCTCATGGGCTGAACGTGTGATTCTCGCTGTCTCTCACGAGAGGACATCTGCTGGCGATGTTTATTCAGATGCAATGGTATTGGTGTAGTATCCAAAGCTGGATGATCTGGCAGTGAAATATCCACAGATTGGTGTCGAGTATCCTGCCTTAATGCTGGCCGTGTCCCGAGGTCTTGTGATTCTTCTTGCATCGGGGGAAGGGGTGGAAGGTGTTGCGAAGCTTCGCTTTCACCAATATAACCTAGCCACTGAGAGGTTCTTAGTGCACCAGGAGATGTTTCTTGGGCACGCTGTAGCTTGGAAGTTTCTTCGGCGTCGGGTGTAGACGGTATCTCCATGTCCTTACTGTAGCGTCTTTTCTTAAAGCGCTCCGGTGAGGCCAAGGGAGGCTCACCAGCGGTTCGTTTCAAACTTGACGCGGCGATTGGGGGTGAGGATGGTACCTGGCTTTGCAGTAAACCGCGCCCTTGACCGTCCTCGAAGTCAATGTCCTGACTGGGGTCCATGTCAGGGTCTGCATCCTCGCTGTTTACTTCGAAGCTCTCCATTATCTCGAGGAAGTCCATGAGGTTCTCTTCATAGCAGAGATGTAACTCGTTGACAGTGTGCTGATCTGGTTCAACAAAGCCCAGGTTTTCCGCGACCCTGTACCAGTCGGTCAATTGGCTGTCCTGTGATACTGGCGCATCCCGGGCAGCTAGCATAAGATCAAATAACTCTATCTTCTTTCCATTGATGTTGAGACTTCTCTTAATGTCTCTCTCGGTGACTTTGATATACTCGTCAAGATCTTGATACCAGTTGTACCTCAGAAGAGCGAGAGCTTCTTCTTCTTCTTGACCATCTTCTATTGATGGCCGAGGTTTGTTAGCTTCTCTCGGGCCTTGTGATGGCACTGTCGTAGGTTGAGGTTGTGGTGCTCTGCGGATAGGGCCAGCGTCTACTTGGTTGTTCACGCGTTGTTCAGGGGCCCTTTGAACGGCAGCCTTCCGTGGGACTCTGGTAACAGTATTGTGGTCTTCCGCAGTGTTTTCTGAGGTGCTCGCAACGGGGCCGGCTTCTGCAGGCGCAGAGGCTGCCATACTCTCCAATTTTTTCCTATCCAGGAACTGCAGCTTTTTGATCCAGTGATCACGCCAAGATTGTGCAGTATGTCGAGGATTCTACGCATGTGAGCTTAAGTTGCGTCGCCTGATTTGCGAAAACTTACAATCCTTTCGTACTCGTACCATATCTGGTTTCCTTTCTGTTCGTCTGGATGGTTTAGTGCCCACCTAGTAAGTTTCGCGTCGTCCTCAGCAGTAAACTTTGTCCGTGTTGACTTTTTGGCTTGATTGCTGCCCACCGGTCTTGGCTCGTCTGGATGGCGTCCTATTAGGTACTTATCCTTGATTTGGATATACCCGTTCTTCACAGAGTCCTCAATAAACTTCCATGAATAGGATCCAGGGGGGGCATCTTTTTTTCTGAGATGGTCCGCAATGAGCATATCAGCATGTTTTTCCAGCATCACGACCTTGCCACCATTTTGCTATCTTAAAATCAGCGATAGCGCGTGAATGAGTTTGCAGGATCAACATACCGTGATAAGCTCTGTCCATCGGTTTCTCATCGGTACTCGATGTGACAGCCAAAACTTGCGATCCTTGAATATGGTACCGCCCTCCGCACCTTCGACTCCATCGTATGTGACTGCCGGTGGCATTGTGATGAGCAGGCTTTCTCTGAGCTATGAAAGGGATAAGGCGCTGGTCACTGAAGATCGCGTCAGAGGCTGGGCTAGAGGTGCACCAACGACTCTGCAGATGTCAATTTTGGCAGCGTGAGTCAGCTTAAACTCTTGGAAAAGTCGATAGTTTCATCGCATGATGAGACGCGCCCTCAATTCGGCCAAACTTTGGTTACCGCCCGCGGTCTTGATGTTCTCTGGGTGCAAGTCGCCCTGATGAAAGCCACGCGTTGAAAGGCATCGCGCGCTCACGTGCCAGTAGATGTATTCAGTTAAGCACGTTTAAGGTTTGCCTAAGTGCATAATGCTGAAGCCACTGTAATATGGTTAGATTTGCTATTATACTATGTAGAGTTGCTAAAATAGCAATGCAACTCCTGCCTACATTATGATCACCTTATCTTGCATATAATTGACCTGATCTATTCTTGGCTGTTTTGTTCGACAGACTTCTATCGGTGGTGATCGTTTCGCTCCACCTAGACCAGAAAGAGGACGACGTCACCTCTTATCGATAAGAGCTTCCCGGGCTATCCCCGGTTATCGGTAGCTTTGACCTTGGTTGCCATGGTAGCAACGATGGAGTGTTTACTTCCAATCAGAACCGAGGCCGTGGGACGAGTGGCCGGGATTATTTGGGTCTAAGCTACAAGTTGCACGAACAACGCAAAATAGATCCATTCACTTAGCTACTTCAAGCTGGACCTTGCCTTCTTCCTTTTTCCTCCTCTTCCTCTCTCTCCTCTCATCCATCTCTTTAACATCAAGCTTACTACTACTAACCAAAGCAGGTTGTGTTTGTTCGTTCTTGTTTCTGCGTCCTTCATCGCATCTGCATTCACATTTTCACGGCCTAGCGAGAATTTACTTGTTTGCATGGGTTGAGTTTGCTTGTTCACCGTGAATAACTTCATCATGTCTTCCGAGGACAAGTACGAAACGCTGGAGAAGATTGGTGAGTCTATCGAGTTAGCAGCACTCGTCTCGATGCGCTGTGCTATCAATTGAGCGACAACTCTAACTCGCCGTCTTCTTCTAGGCCATGGCTCCTTTGGCATCATCCGCAAGGTCCGTCGCAGGACAGACGGCTTCATCATGTGCCGCAAAGAAATCTCATATCTACGCATGTCCCAGAAGGAGCGCGAACAACTTCACGCCGAGTTCCAGATTCTATCGCATCTGCGCCACCCAAACATTGTCGCCTATTACCACCGTGAACACCTCAAAGTTAGCCAGGACTTGCATCTTTACATGGAGTACTGCGGGAATGGCGATCTCGGCCGCGTTATCAAGGACCTCGCACTAAAGGGCCAGCGAGCTCAGGAAAGCTTCGTCTGGAGTATCTTCAGTCAGCTCGTCATGGCGCTTTACCGATGTCACTACGGTGTTGACCCTCCAGAGGTTGGCGCCAACGTGCTTGGGTTAACACAGGGAAACGCTGCTGGCGGACCCAAGGTTCCCGCTGGAACAATGACTATTCTACACCGAGATTTGAAACCTGAGAATGGTGAGACCTCGATAGTGGATCCCTTTGTTTACGAAATTCGAAACTGACAGTGTTTTAGTCTTCCTTGGCGAGGACAACTCTGTCAAGCTTGGAGACTTCGGTCTCTCCAAGATGATCAAGTCCCACGACTTCGCTTCTACCTATGTCGGTACCCCCTTCTACATGTCTCCCGAGATCTGTGCCGCGGAGAAGTACACATTAAAGTCCGATATCTGGTCTTTGGGTTGCATCATCTACGAGCTCTGCGCACGCGAGCCACCCTTCAACGCAAAGACGCATTTCCAACTTGTGCAGAAGATTAAGGAGGGCAAGTTCCCTGCCTTGCCCGACGTTTACTCTCCCGAGCTTTATCAGGTTATCAAGGACTGCCTCCGTGTGAACCCTGATCGAAGACCTGACACTTCTGAGCTCCTGAACCTGCCAGTGGTCAAGCTTATGAGGAAGGAGAAGGAGGTTGTTGACCTCAACAAATCTCTCCGCCTCAGAGAGGATGCTTTACGTAAGAAGGAAAGGGACCTCAATGAGAGACTTGCCAACATGGAGAGAGAAAAGGACGTTATCCGAGAGGAACTGGACTCGTCGCTACGGAGAGAGTGGGAGGTTAAAGCACGTCTCGAGATTGACCGTCTTGCCAACGCAGAGATCGAGCAGCTCCAAAATCGCTTCGAAGCCGAGGTTCAGGCACGCGTCGAAGCTGAGCTGCAAAAGAAAACAGTAACATTTTCCGGCTCAAGACCTGAGAGTCGAGAAGATGAGTATGCCTCATCAATGGGCAAGTCGGATTATAAGTCCGACTATCCTCACTCTTCCATCGGTGGCAGCGAGGTCGAGTTCCCGTCCACAACAGATCTCACTGAGTACTCCATCGATAGCCCCGAGGCGCCTCGAGAGACTAAGAAGACAGCTCGTACGCCTTTCAGCCGTGCGCAGACCATGTTCGTCGGTAATCCCGCTGGTACGCCAATGGATGTCGAGATGAACTCACCAAGCCCTATCGCCATTGCGTCGCTATCTCTTTCTCCTCGCCGCAATGGCAACACCAAGGCTCCTACCACTGCCAATGCAAACATCTTTACCGCCAACGCCAATCGAAACTCCGCCGATTCCCGATGGGATCATCCTCGTGATACCTTGTCCGATTCTGAAGATGAAGACGTTGTCCCGTCGCCAACACGAAACATCAAGTCTTCGAAGAATCCCTTCACCTCCAAGACACGACCTGTCCTCACTTCTCAGAAGTCGTGCCCCATGAACCGCCTCAAGACCCAACCATCAACCTCGGGCTTCGTGTCTAAGCAGATGCCTCCACCTGAGGCTCCGAGGTCGCCCACTCGCCGTCTGAGCAAGATTCCCTCAGCGGCAAACCTCCAGTCCGAGGCCAACAGCCAGGGCTTGACGCGCGCCTCATCACTCAACAACAAGAAGAACAGCAGCAGCACCGATGATGTCCTGGGCAAGGTTGCTGCTAAGAATAACATTCGAGGCCGAACCCTCGTCGAGCTTCAGCAGGCTCGCGCAGGCGGTCGTCCCATGAGCGCCATCGTGATGCCCAGCACAGGGGAGAACGTCAGCCCCAAGAGGGCATTCCGAGACCGCATCGGAATTGAGCGCAAGTCAAGTGGTGACGAGCCCGTCGCTGTCTGGGATCCGGAACGAGACGAGATGCCTAGTCCTTTCCTGGTCCGACAGCGACGGATCGCCCGGGTGTAGGCCGCCTCCGTGCTAGTCGCATGAAAAGAAGTAATGATGAAGAAAGCTGGTGTGTGGTTGTGGTTTTGTTTTTTTATGCATTAGAGGCGAGCATCATGATATTGCTTTGGAGGGTCTACGCTACCCTCACATACCTCTTTGTCTCTCGTTTTGATTCCCCCTTTCATTTGTCTTACCGCAAGCTGAGAGGGAAACGAGAGGCTTTCCCGATGGATATCCCCCTCACACGTGAGGGTTTGGAAATGATACATGGAAACACTTATGGGCGTTTTTGGCGCGAGCACAAGGATCATGGCATGCATGGAATGGAATGGGTTATTACATTTTAAATGCTCTGTTGGTGTGCTTGTTACTTTTAATGGACAAGGATTTTAGCATTGTTATTATGAGTTGAACGTCTAAACTACTTGCGAGGAATGGTGGGATTGGATCGAATTCGGTTGAGTTGGATTGGGCTGTTCTTGCGTATGTTTATTCTTAGACGTTGTAAAAAAGATAATGACACACTCTTCTACATACTCGACCTCTCAAGCCTCTCTCAACCGGGTGAATAGCATTGTTTGGCCCCCAAATCTCCAACGGCTTCTCATAGGAACGCATCTGCACTTTAGAACTCGGTGAGCATCCAATGAAATGAGGAGCCGTTAAAGTGCAGCATTTTGCAGATAACCCTTGTCTATTCAAGACATACAATGTCATTGGACAATCCATATCATCATGAGAATGGATGTGTACCCAACTTACACCAACTCCTCTCCATCATGAACCCAACTTACAGCGTCGTCTCCCCTTCTCGCCTCATTTTCCAAGGCCAATGACAGAACCAAACTGTTGATATATGCTTTCAATCCAGGTCATAAATCATTTTTCAATCCACCTGTCGAGTCCAGCCTTGATCTTCACACACGTCAGCAACTATACTACAACCCTTTAGTGTTGGGCATCACTGCGTCTCCCCCATAAACGATGCTTCCACCCGCCTTGCATATGCATCCCCAGAGCTGCACCCCAGAGCCAGTCGTGCAGGTGAGGCGTTCGACAATGTAAAAGCACGACTCGAAGTGGTCCATTAAAAAGCACTATGCGGTGAGAGCTCTCGTGATGAGTACCGCCATTGGCAGGGACATCCATGCCTTTTGACATTAGCATCACATCATGAGAAAACAATCTTCCAAAGATTCCAAGAAACAAAGGTACATGTCGTAGTAAAGGTTTGTTATGACAATACAATAATCAACAAGGGGTATTTTTCTCCAAGCACACGCTTCAACACCAAATTTGTCTGAGTAAGGTAAGGAGTCCAAGCATTTGACACAAATGCCCGAGACACGAACATATATCCAACAACAGGCGCTATTCAACGCCAGATAGCACCAAACTGAACCCAAGAAAACGCAGATAGACAATAATAGCAACAAAACATTAAAAAATAGGCCAGGCCGTGAGGCCAATTCCATCTTGCGTAGACGTAGCGTAGCGTATTGTAGCCGTGAGGCCCATCAATCTTCCAAAATTCCCACGTCCCAGGTTCCCTTCCTGACCTTTGATTCGTCATGGCTATAGACCGAGCCTGAGAGCAGAATGCATTTCGCGATGCAACGAGCACGGCGGTCCTGTGTAACCCGCGCAGGACTTCGTCTCTTTTTCGAACTCTCCCCTATTTTCTTTTTCGAATCTTTTTTTCTTTTTAGACTTTTGTTTTACTGTAACAATATTTTGTAAGTGAGCAATCTCGGCCACACTTTCCCACCATCTGGTAGATGATCTGTTTAGTGCCGTGAACGATGAGAACTGCTGTGACGATGAGAGTGACCATGGCTGCGATGAGAGGAAGAATGGTGCGACGAAGAGTGTCGGTGTCGGCTCGAGCTACCACTACTCTCAAGATCCCGCTCCAAACTTTCAACTCTTGACCGATAGCCCTTAACAATCTCCTTGATGTGGGCGATACGGTCGAAATCTACCTCGAGCTCATCCAGCTGCTGAAGAATCTCGGTATACCGAGCAATTTCTGCGTCGGCGCCGCCGATGATTCCGTCAGCTTCGTCATATTGCAGTTGGGTAAATCGCTGCGCTTCATGACTCAGGTAATTAATCCGTTGTTCGATACTAGCCATAAGATGATCAAAGTAACGGCCTAAAGCAGAAAGTGAGGAGCTGTCGAGTAGTAGAAGGCCTTGGCTACTGGCGCGACTAGCGGCGCGCGAGCTGCTGGACCCCCCTCCCAGTGCCGCCTGCCCTTGGCGAAGCAGCTGGATCTCCTCGTTGGTGAGCCCTAGCTGGGTGTCCGGAACAGCCTGTGAGGACATGACGGGCAGCAGCTAGCTATGGCGTGGGGAGACCAGGTGAGTCGCAAAGTAGGCGGCTGCGATTGAGATTTGGGGGGTCAAGTAAAGGTTTTGGTTTTTGGGATCGTCGCAGAAGAGCAAGTGGGTTGAGGATGCGGTATGAGTCGAGCAGGTGGGCGAGGAGAGATTCGGTTTGTGTATAAAACAGCTGCGGCAACTCGTGACATGGGCTATGCTGGATGAGAAGAGACCGACGGGCCGATGGCCTGTTGACACGATTGAGTTAAGAACACAGCGTTGGTAATGACACCAATGGACAAGATACCACGGCGCACAGAAACGACAATGATAGAGAGATATGCGAGGAGGATCGCGGCGACGGCAAGGGTGAGGATGATAGCGGATGCGACGATGCTAGAATGGGCGTGGGGTGTGCTGCGCAGAGCATCATGATATCGCGGCCAATACGATCATGAGCATCATCGGTGGTGTTGAGTCGGTTTTCAGTGGCTTCGGGGTGTCAGGTAGTTCGTCTGGAGGCTCCCAGACCTCAGAGCGCCCGGAGAGAAACGAGGAGAAGAGAGAGCGATCGAGGGAGTTAGGTCTCTTTTGGGGAATAGACGGAAGAGGTGTGATTGGAGAATCGGGGGAGGAACCCAAGAAGACGGAATTGGGCTCGAGGTGGAGGGTGGGGGAGATGGACTCGAAGCAACAAAGTACCGGTACGTATCGTTTCGTAAGGTCGGTCGGTCGAGTATGGAGGATGGAAGGCCCGTTTCGGTGAAAGAGGCAGGGATGATTTGACGAGGGGGTTTGCTTGATGATTGCGACCCAAAAGAAAGATATTTTCTTTGGTGTTAGGATGTAATGTGGTGCGGTCTGGTACGGTGAGTTGAGATGCTGTAGAGCCTATGGTGACAAAGCTTGATATCGTTGAGTAGTCTAACTGAACAAAAGATGATCATTAGCCTCTATCCTCGGCTGTGTGTAAGGTAATTAATTAGGTGATGGTGTTGAATAAGAGAAGAACTAACCTCCACTACCAAAGTTGTAGCGTGATATGGATGGATGAGATAAGATGGGGGGAGGGGAATGGAGTGGATGAGATGGGGAAGGAGGATAATTGAGAGGTGGTTGCGGTTGCAGCTGCGGTTGCACAATTTGGTTACAATTGCACGTGCAATTGCAATAGCAATCAATCAATTAATCCAGCCGCGGTCAAGGTAAGGGCGGACAGGTAATACTTTATCACTTTATATAGTAATATTAAGGTTGATGCCCGATTGATTGATTAATTGATTGCGCTGATGGATAAGTGAGGTAAGGTAGGTAGGTACCGACAGAGCGGTCACTGATGGAGCTGGAAGCTGTTACAGCCAGCCAGAGATAGCGCGCGCTAATTGGAGCTCCCTGTCATTAAACGACGATCTCAAGAGGTCCAAGAGTCGGCTTTTTTGCTTCTTCTGCCTTGTCTCTTCTAATCAAGCGGGGAACGACAGATGAGAAAGACGCAAGGCAAAAGAGCAAATGAATTTCTGGTATCAACAGTGAAGTGAACTGGAGGACCATTGCCGTTTGCTGTATTCAGGCCTGACAGGGTATCATTTAGGCGTGAACCAGGACCAACTCGGCGGCCATGATGCTGGGGGCATAAAGGTCGGTGAGAAAGAAACCGGGAGCCCACGGCGAGAGATCTCGATGATTATTGATGGCGTCGTACTAGAGGAGGAGAATATGAATCAAAGGGAGAAAAGGGTGGAAAAAGAAAAGAGAGGAAAAGAGGAAAAGAGGAAACAAGAGTTGAAAGACAAAAAGAAAAGAGTGGCTTCTTTATTGAGGTCGACTATAAACATGAAAGACGACAACTTCACTCAAATCAGGAGACAGATCATGATACAATACACATCCACGGGCAACAGTAAACATACGACACCTTGGTTCTAATTGCCTATTCCATGAGACGGAGATGAATGACCATGCCCGGGAACTCGGATCATGAGCCGTATATTTCTCACTCGGTGAGACTCTCTATACTACCCAGGTAAGTTAAGTTAGGTGCTTCAACTCACCTCGGTTCGGCTTCCATGTCGATACTAGACCCAGACACAGCAAATATTAATGATTCCCATGTTGACTTTTCCGTGCCTCTGCTGACCATGACCTACAAAGTAGGGTCTATCCCAGTCTCTAACCCATGCTCACCATCACCACCACGAGCCACATTTGGCGGAGGCAGCCACCGCGGGGATCAAAGCTGAGGAGCCCCGAGCACGACATGTACTCCATTGTATCCCATTGTCTGTAACATGTGCAAGACACTTGCTGCAATGGCAGGTCATAGATAAAGTGCGTACATGAATTATCGTGACGATCCTCCGTCGACTATCAGCACACACACCAAACTAACTAGATATCCCCAGGTACTGCCCAAATTGGTAGGTGTTAATGTCATGCGCACGTGTATCTCCCGTCCGATCAATGCACTCCCTGTTCGTTGCACTTACACCTCCAATGCTCGCGGATTCCCTCTACAACACCAAACCAAGATGCGTATCCATCGCGATATCAGCCGACGCACGAGCCCAGCGCCTACTGACTCAGCCTGAAACCCTCCCTCATCACACAATAAGTTGACTGTTGGCTATGTCTCATACGTAAGTAAAGAAGCACAATCGGCTCACTAACTCTGCTCTGTCGATCCGGAAATCGGCAACCATCTCCCCGAAACACAAACCCCCAATATCAATGGGTGATGACTTATTGGGTGATGTCTTGTGGCGCGCGCCAGACGAAACACATCCCTGACACAGCACAGCACAGCACAGCACCACACAACACACCAAAAGGATAAACTACGATAATCATTACCCGTTCGTTTGCTTGTCGAGTTCGTCTCAATACGTGTTGCAGTTCGTCTCGCTCTTTACACTGCAGGTCCAGATGCACATTTTCTGCAGATGCGTGACTGCATCATGCAACTACTGCTGACCTGCAGCACTCTTGAGCCTCAACATGACGTCTATAAGTATCAGCAGCATCACTCACTCACCCACAGGCTCATACATTTCATCAACCTCGGAACATTGCCGTCTCTCTGCGCCTCCCCCGCCCTCGCAACAACCTGAACTGCCGCATCTTGACCTCAGATGATACCCTTTTTCTTCCCGGTCAAATTTGCCTGTTCTCTGTTTGCGTTGCATCGAGTGGCACGAGGACAGCCAAAGGATCGTGTCAAATGCAGCTTGCCGCTGCAAGTAATACCACCCTTGCTCGTGCTATCATATGTTGTGCGCCGACTTTAAAGACTGGTCCTTGGTCGATCCAACCACGAGCAAGCCATGTCGTGCTCCCTTGGTAGACTTTCTCCTTCGTACTGGGCAACCATCCGGAGATCCGCTAGGGCGCCGTGCTGTGTAACGACTTCTTCCATCAAATTTGTTTGATGTGGGAGTCGTGCAAGGTTGCTCCATGCTCTTGCGACGAGAGCGCTGACAAAAATTGTAGTCACTTTTGGCTCATGTCGCCTCCAATTTGACTGAGTTCATCAGCGAATGCTGGGAGGAGTTGTACGTGCTGTTCCACGGGCGCAGTCACTCAGATCTGGCTGAAGTCTTCCCCTTTCGCTCACAACAACGTTTCTTATCATCACACAAGAGGTCGCATGGCCAGTGAAGTAACGTAGAAGAAAAAAAGAAGAAATGATGTTTCTTACCCCGAGAGTCGCTAAATTAGTAATAAGTACTTGTTCATACGTGGTCTTTAAACCATAAAGCCTGTATCTATTCAATATAAATCCCAGTACGTGCCATAGGAAGCTCAGATTCAGACCTTCAGTCTGTCTCATGACTTAGTTTTCTATTTAATTCTTCTTATTGGTATAGTTCGGATGTTTTCCGTTGAAGCCCTGGGTCTTTTTCTCACTACCTAGGTATGTTTGTTCTAGTGAAAGTTTGAGGTTACCTGTTGTACTTAAGGATGCGATATTCGAACACAGGCTCTTCGGGATTGTTGGAGGCGATATCCCTTGGTTTAAATCGTTTCTCTTCCGTTCGCTAGGTCTATACCCGTAATACACTGCTATCTCATCCTATCAATCGTGATGTACTAGTCCAGTCTCATCTTCAGCGATGCCCATGTTGCTATCATGCATTGACCTGACCACTGTTACAATGCTTGTGTTTTCGACTTAAGTCGCTTTACTATAGTGGAAACATGATCGAGCAACTTTTATGTATGTCGGCGTCTAAAGTTCGCATCGAACTATTTGGGGCGGGTGATGCATCAGTATCATAGATCCCCAACCATCAACATTCGCCCAAATACCAGGTAAAACGGCACTGCATAGGATCCATTGCATATATCCCAAGTCTTTTAAGTACTGATTCATGCGAGAACGACGACTTGTCTTCTGGTGATGTTCTGTTTCACCGGCACAACACAAACCCCCTACTCGGTGGGATTGGTGAGGGCGGAGCTCTACAAGGGACTCAAGTATTTACACAGGAGATGTGATACTCAGCACTTCTCCAAGATATTATAGCTGGTTTCTTTACCCCTTACTGCCTTAATGTTCATTAGATTGTGATGCAACTGGTGTTTATCCTTGTCCAAGTCTATCGTCGTCCGTTGAGTTTCAGCGATAGGTTCCCATGAATGCTCGACAATGATCTTAATGGATTTAATCCTATGTATCCCTTGCTATATCTGATTGCATCAAGTCGTTTCTATATCTGAGGTTGATTGACAGTCATAATTCCGCGCTTCTCATATCTGAACTAAAGTCATGTCGGATCAGGTGGCATTCCATGATATTTTTGGAAGCCAATATTATTCCAACCCTGGCGCTGATAAGTCAGGACAGGCTTTCCTTCTGCGTCGATATTTTAAAACTTCATTTATTGTTTCGGAGCTCATTCATATCGAAATTACTGCAGTGTGCTGAAGTATTACGCAACCTTTAAGCTCTTGGATGGGGGAAATGGCTTTCTTATTGAAGTTTTACAGAAAAGAACGAACGCGTTTGACTGTTATTCCATCTCATAAATGTCAATAATCTTCTGAAACTAAAATTTTCAGTTCAATACAATACTTCTCAATAAGCCCTCAAAGTCTTAGCTTCGCAACTCACCTCTGTTTGCTGTCGTCCTTATCTGGCCGACTCTTCAGGTGACATGACGAGATTCGCAATCTACTATTTGATACATCGAGTTCTGATGCTTGGAGAATTTAATAAAGTTACCAGTAAGTTTATCGCCATGGGACACGTTTGATAGCTTTAGAGTCCTGGTCTAATGGTGACTTTGAGTCGATATCACAGACTGCCTTCACTCTTCGCTGGGCAATGCTTCCTCCTGTACCATTGTTATACGGCTCCGGGTAATAACTCTATGAGTCACTATGGGTATTGACTCTTCTACGGGTTTTACGATGGTACAGCATGTTGCAAGCTTAACCCAACTCAAGGGGTTGGTCTGGAGATGACGAGCGTACTGTCAGGAAGGCCAAGGCTACTGTTTCTAAGTATGTTGGCTGATAGATACCATAAAATGGCCATATTTGTGTTTTCCTATTCTTTTTATGATGCGCTCCATATGGTACAAGTATTTTGTTCCCTGTATTGCCTTGACTGTTGACGCAGCATTGCTTCACCATCAATCCTTATGGCCATGACTCTTCGAGCGTTGCCAGTAGGTATGTATATCATCAGCTTCTTTTTCCGAATAACATCAGTTTTAAATTGTATTTGGGACTATCAACACATTTATTTGGATCTCTATCGCGAAGGAGCTCAACATCTGTAGCGACTCGTGGCATACATGAACTGGCTTGCAGCAGCTCGAGACTGGCCGATTTACTCCTGCCTACTACCCTAAACGGGTCATATCTGGTTATATTCTTCATGTCAATGGGTCTGGGCACATGAATCGCTGTTCTCTGTGTGTTTGAAGCATCTCCGGAGACTTATTACCCGGGTGTCAGTATAGTATGTGTT